ATCCAGCTCGCCTTGCGAGCGTACCGACTCCAAGACGTGCTTCCTGGTCTGCGATGCCTTGCGGTGAACCTCCTGCGGGGATGCTGAGGCGGGCTTAAAGACCTGGGGGAACAATCCTGTAAGCGGCACTTGACCCACTAAGTCTGTTCCACTGATCATTTCCTCGACCACCTCCATATCCTCGTACCCTATGTCCTGTAGAAGTTCCTTCCACAGAAGGATTTTCTTTGGCCCTAAGATATCCCTTGAGTGGGGTGGCATCTTGGCCTTAAGTGCTGCCTCACTCTCCTCCAAGGCTGCCGCCCTGGCTTCCCACCGCTCAAACCACTTTTCCCTAAACTTTAGCAACTCATCGGAGTCCAAAGATCGGTTAAGTTCAACGGCTTTGTTAAGTGCTTGCGGCAAAGGAACTTTCAGTAGTTTGGGATGTCCTGCTTTACACGCAGCCGCAACAAAGGCGTCCGGGGAGTAGGGCACACCCCAGGCTTGTTCAAGAATGGGCTCGGTAGGGTTCGCAGTCACGGTCGAAGCATTGTCCGCATCCAAGGTCAGAGCGGAAGAATGGTCCCCCTTTTTAACCGATAATGGCACGGTTCTAAGAAGTTGCGCATTGGCTGGAATGCGCCGGATTGAAGCAGCACATGTGGGTGGAAGATCCCATGGGGATTTGAGGCGACCCATGGGGGCACACGGCGCGGCGTCGAGAGCCGACTGCGGGCCGCGAACTAACAGCACTTTGCAATGCTCTGGCACGAGAGCTGGAAATTTGGCAGCCGCAGGCTGATTGCCAGCAGCCGCACGGCACGCAGATAGCAAGCTGTCGGCTTTGGGCAAGGCTTGAGGTGGCTGCCACCCGGCGCTGACCAAGTGAGAGGCCACAGCATGAGCTATAGCAGCCGCCAGGGGCGGTGGGTAAGCGGTTGCCTCTTTGGTGGCAAACCCTGTGGAGGTAAGGCCCCAGGGCTCATGTGGATGCGCAGGCGATTGACCAGGACAGGAGCGTTGCAACGACGAAAAGACATCATGAGTGGAAGCCAGGGTGGTGCGCTTGGGCCGCGCACCTCCAAACATGCAGTGGTCAAAGGAAGTGCGGTAAGGGCACAGATGCGCAATGCTTTGGAAGAAGGTGGTGGCCCAAAACCAGGAGCGGTGCGGATTCTCGCACACGAAAAGCACGTCCCGACGGTGACATTCCAGCGCAATCTTGGCCAAGAATTCATATAAGGCGTTGGCAGCCGCAACACGCTGCTGATTGGAACCCTGAAGTTGTGGCAAGCCATCAGGGAACTGAGAAGATCGAAGAGGCGGCGGGCCAGGGACGGGCAGACCTGAGCTATCGTAAACCTGGATGTCTCGCGCACGGCTAGAGGTGCCGCAAGGTGGCGCTGCGACCACAGCAGACAGCAGCGGGTTGCACAGCCAAAACATGGCCAGGTCCTGGCCATCCTGAGTGGTTAGGTCAGCGATCAAGGGGGCACATGCTGCAGATTCAAGGTGCTTATCATCGATGCCGTGCGCCGTTACACCCAGTCGACGGAGGCACGCAGTGACGCGGGCTGTGCCCGCAAAGAGCTCAAAGACAACTGGGGTAGCCGGGGCCCGAAAGATTGGACGCGGAATGGGCACCATGGTGCCCTGCTGAAGGACGTCGCCTGTGGCCAGGTCAGGGGGGCTAAACCCTAGGGAAACCAGAGCTGAATGGTCAGCTTCGGAAAGGGCCGCGAAATCGCGGATGACAAACCCGGCTAATACTACCCGGTAACCATCCCAAGGCATGGTGGCATGCCGCTGATGGGCGTCAAAGGTAATGCATGCATTGGATATTGGCAAAAGATTGCCTCGCAAGTGTGCATGGGGCAGCGGCCCAGCATGAGCACCGGAAGCGCTTTCGAGCCAGAGATGGCCCTTCTCGAAGGTGGACACACCTATCAAGAAATTGGGGAAACCCTTGGCATTATTCCGGTCTGCGTGCAGCGGAGTGAGCGTCTGAGCCATCAAGGACAGGGACGTGAACGGCAATTCATGTCCCCAACTTTTAGCGTAGGCGGCCAGCATCCGACACACGGTCGGGAATTCATGACACGTGCGGCGCAGCCCCAACATGGGGCCCTGGACATAAGCACCGACACTGAAGGAAAAACTGGATTGGTGGGTGATGTCGGGATGTTGTCTGGCGGGTACTTCCGAGGGCAACAAGCTTATGAGCTGTGTTATGTCATCAGAAGTAATTCTGGGTTTACTGAGGCAAGCGGCTGCGAAGTCCTCAGCGGTGTCATGCACTTGATCCTGTTGCGCACTGAGGTCTCCTGTCAAGGTAGCGGCAGCTGAACAGTCATGGACGCGCTCAGCAGGATCAACGACCACCGTATGATCCTTTTGTCACGCCCCACCCACGGCCGGGCATTGACCGATGGGGTGCGATCCTTCGCACTTGGCACACACATGGGCCCTCGTACAGCTTGGATGCGAGCAGCCTTCCAAGTTGTACGCAAAACAGATGCGCTGTCCCTGCTTCGTGAGCGGCTTCGCTCCCGTTTGTCGCAACACCAAGGGCATGGGAATGCTGCTGGCATCCTGAGAGCCCTTGCCCTTACCGGCTTTGCCCTTGCCGCCGGTCTGCTTTCCCTTACCGGAACCTTTACCACCCTTGGAGCCCTCATGGCCACGCCACTTGTTTGCATGATCCGCATTGGCTGTGTTCTTGCGCTTACTTCCCGCAGGCAGGGGAATAAGCAGAGAAGACACCGCATACGATTCAAGGGCTGCGTGGAGTGCTCGGTCCATATCATGGCTGCCATCGGGGTTCGCACGGGGTCTTCGGTTTTCCTCAAGCATGTGCACCCACACAGCCTTGTCAGCCTGGATCAGCTGCTCAATGTTAACACGCTGGTGATTTGCTGGGGCAGGCCGGCGAAAGTGCATCATAAGCTTGGCCAGGTAGCTTTCATACGCGCCTAGGCTGACGCAACTGGCCATGACATAAGCATAACCTCGACGTTTAAACCCTTCAAGCAAAGCCAATGCGCCATGCACAGGTTGGTCTGTGGTTTCAGCATGCTCGCGCACAGCGATTTTCCCTGCCTCTACCTCAAGTACTTTTGACGGCTTGTGGTGATTAAGCAGCTCGTGCTGGCGGGAAACGCATTTCTCAATCGGTATATGCTTGAAGACATTTTCTCGATGCTGCTCACAGGTCATGTCCAACAGTGAATGCCCGGGCTCCATGGTCGAGTCGATGTGCAAGCCAGGGTTGGCAGTCTTGAACATGGAAAGACGCTGCGATTTCTCGGCTTCAGGTAGCTTCTGCTTAGTGGTATTGTCGGGATCCAAGATTGATTGCCGAAGTGCACTGAGCTGAAGGGTTTGAGACTCGAACAGCAGACGCTTAAAGGCGGCGACATCACCCAAGGACAACCCCGGGAGATTTGACTCAAGCCACTCCTTTAATGCCTCTTCAGACAGGTCTTGACCGGGGATGCCGACAAGATGTGCTGTGGTCCCCAGCGTCTTAACCCCGAGAGCTTCCAACTTGCCCACAGTGGGCTGACTCAAGTTGATCTCCTTGCATCGCCGGATAAAGTGGGCCTCAGAATCAAGAATGGCGGTCATTGCGATATGTGCTACAAACACTAGTCAATCGATGCTGTAGTTCTCTGTCCTGCTTCACGTGTTGTGCGGTGTTGTGTTGTGATCCTGTCAAAGCACCCGGAAACATGTCATGATCTCAGCCAGGGATGCGTGAGGGGGGCGAGTTCAACAACGACATGTGATATTATGAAGGTTCGCCGGGTGGTTAAACCCGAAAATCAAGCGGGTCCTTTCCCCGAAAAAACGACTCTAAATCGCTCAAAACCACTGCTTACCCATCCTTATATAAAAACCTGATTTTATAGGGACTTGGGTCTACAGTGTGCCCAAATACGGAAAAAACCTACAAAAATCATGCTCGGGGCGCATAAGCCCTCAAACCGACCCTGGCGAACCCTCATATGTGACATGATCACCCTAGACTGCATTCACAGACTCGCGACACTCTCTCACCACACACTGCACTGGCTGACTGAACACGCGGTAGTAATACCGCGAGATTACCAACATAACTACCCGCCCACAAGTTCCCGCCCAAATGCAATTTGATATTGCATAAAAGAATATAAAAGTTTGATTCGGAAAACTCTGACATGAGACCGTTCGCACTGGCAAGAAGCGGGCAACATGACTGAATGCAATGCACGGGCTCCACATGTTTTCACGCTGCCGTGCAACGACTGTCGAAAGAGTGCACGAAAGAGGAAGGAAGGAGAGGAGCATAGCCGATGCAATGCTCCGTCATTCACGTGTTGTGCCAACTGCACCCCACGATTCGTAGAAACTCTCCCCCTCCAAAACAGGGCTGGGCGGGTGGGTACACAAATGAGTCCCCCCCTCCCCTTTTGGACTCCGCAGAGCCGAGCCCAAAGGTTCGGACGAATATTGATTGTCATCTGTTCCTCCAGCAGGAGGGAACAAGAACTGCACATGAAGAAACTCATGTAAAACAAATCACCGTGTGACATGAAAATCAATCCATAAAAGAGTCGAAACTCGACTCAACAAATGGAAAGCATTTTCGATATTGGCACATGAAAATGTGAGCAAGTTATGTTTCCAAATCTCATTCTGATGGACAAGTCCACCTCACGAGATTACCAACATAACTACCCGCCCACAAGTTCCCGCCCAAATGCAATTTGATATTGCATAAAAGAATATAAAAGTTTGATTCGGAAAACTCTGACATGAGACCGTTCGCACTGGCAAGAAGCGGGCAACATGACTGAATGCAATGCACGGGCTCCACATGTTTTCACGCTGCCGTGCAACGACTGTCGAAAGAGTGCACGAAAGAGGAAGGAAGGAGAGGAGCATAGCCGATGCAATGCTCCGTCATTCACGTGTTGTGCCAACTGCACCCCACGATTCGTAGAAACTCTCCCCTCTCAACGAGTGACAGTGGCACATCACTTCCAGGGATCCTTCTCGCGCAACCGTTCAGCTTTCTTAAGCTTGACTGCGGCTTTGGATGCCCGCTTCTCTTTCCACTCAGCAATCTCACCATACAATGCAGAGCCCGCTTGCAAAAGAGGCCTGAGAACCAGACCTTGGTATTCGGCAAATGAAAATCGTAGCCTCAACTTTGGATCGAACTGCTTGAAATCCCCGTTTGTCAGAGAGTCAGCCAGCATGTTCTGAAGACGTGGTGCCCACGTGAGCTCGAGCATGCACGACTTCTCAAGGAGCACAGCAGTTAATTCCATCAAGACGGCCACCAATGGAAACGAAGTTGTGAGCCAACGCGAGACAATGTGCGAATTGCCCTTGTTGTCTGTCCCCGCTGAACAGACTGTTCGCGAAGGGCCCGCTCCCGTAGGGGCGAAGAGCAACACCGCCACCATGGTGGCCAGAAGTTCAAGGGAGGCTATGGATCGGTAAGACTCCCCCGCCATAAAGAAGAGAGGAGCGTCTTCAGGCTTAATCCGCTCGGCAAACCACCGGCACCGACGAGGATCGTCGGAGTCTGCACACGACCATCCGCCAATATGCATCTCCGGTCCCTCTGCTCTAGCGTCTGTCCTGAAGAGCTCCGGCGCCGCCTCAGACGAGTGTTGTGCAACCTTCGTCACCCTGAGACCCTTTAGCAACAGCGCCTCCACAAAAACCAGAACCAAGTCGACGGCCTTAGGGAGTCGCAGGGTGTGGCATTGCGATACAGCACTGGTCCAAGCGTACAGTGGCCCCAGGAAGGGTCTCAGCATCGGAAGGACCGTGAAAGCGAATGAAAGGCGGCCCAACACGGACTGCATGTCGGCCACTCGCACCATGCCGTCGGCCCTGGTCTTGCGGATCCAGCCGACGATCCAATCAGTCCGTGACTGGCTGATGCCAATCGTCCTCCCGAAAGCGAACACCGAGAATCCGATCCAGCCATGCTCCAGTCCCCCGGCGAACTTATGCCAGGCAAACGGGGTCCCCAGCACCTGAAGCAACAAGATGGTCGCCAAGATCTTGATCAGCCCGTCTCCGGACTGGGTAAGCCATATGAGGTCGTCTACATAGCTCAGGAGAACCGTCTGGTCGCCTTGCAGACAGTAATACAGAAGTCTGCCCAGTCCCGACATGAGTCTGTACCACCAGTACGAAGCTGAAGCGATGCCGAACGTCCCCACGCAGTTGTAGTACACCTTCTTTGGGTTTGACCCGCGACAAGCTTGTCGTGGCCAGTCCTGTTCCCGTACGCGGTACAGGCGATGAGCCCTGCTGATGTCACCACTCAGAGAGAAGTAAGCATGTGGCAGAATTTCCACGGCAGTCTGAAGATCAGCACCCGTGGGATATCGTTGGGCATCTCGAACACGGATGCAATCATTGACATGTTGCCCATTGCTGCCGTCGTGCACAATCCTCAGAGAGCCGTCCGGCTTGGGCACCGCCCCAAGCGATGCAACAGACAAGGAATCACCGTGCTTTGTCCGGGCCTCCTCCAGGTCGAGCGCGATCATCGCCCCCAGGCTCATCTCCTTGGCGAGCTGCTCATCAAGCTGTATGGGGTTGTCACGAGCCCCGGGATAGTTTTCGCGAAGACCATCTTCAAGCGGAGTGTCGGCATCGGGGTACTTCCTGTGCTTGAATTTCCGCTCGAAAAGTGCAGGCGTCCGAGGAAGGCGTTCCCCCACCCCGATCGGAACCCCTCTCGCAAAGGACACGGATGAAGAGGCATACTGTCTCCAGTCCGGATCTCCAGCTGCCCTCAAGAGCTCCTCAATGGCCTCGAGGTAGAAGGGCTGCCGCGGAGCCACATGTTCAAGCTCTTTGGTGGAGCCCCAGTCCTTCAGCCGCTGGAAAACAAGTGAGCGCATCTCCACCACCATCGAATCCGGGAAAGGCGAGGACGTGGCCCTCCCCGTGGCTAAGCGGCAGATCTCCTTCCTCACGTCAATGTGCTTCTGGAGCATGCGCAGAGCGTCCTCGAATATCTGCCCATGCAAGGAAATATCCGGATGTGTAAGGTTTGTCGGCCTGTCCTTTGGCAACCATCGGCCAGGAGATGCCAAGCCATGCCCATCGGAGAAGTCAATCCGCTTTCCCACGAGTGTGGCCTTCAAAGGGGGTCCAAAGCCGAGTACCCCCTCACCCAGCTTCGCCTTGGGAACGCCATCAACGTCCTCTTCAGAAGTAGAGCCACCCTCCTCCTCGTCGTCCTGGTTGTCGGGTTTAGGCTTCCACCACTCATCCTCCTTCGGAACGGCATCGTCGTTGTTGTCCTCCAGGATGCGCTTCACCGCACGTGGCAATGAAGCAACCCCCGGCTGGGCCGGCAAGTTGAATCCCAACTCCTCCAGAAACCTCCAGTCGTCCGAAGGAAAGGAAGGGTTCACTCGTGGTGTGTATGCCACGAGCACTGTTCTGGTCCCTTCCCAAGCCTGCGTGCAGTGCCAAGCAGTAGGATCGAAGCAAACATGACAGCCATCGTCGAAGTCAAGAGTATGTCCCAAGCCCAGAGAGGGATTCGAAGGGCAAGGTTCCTGACCTCCGCCATCCTGGGTCCAAATGCCCCCGCCCCGAAAGGGGGAGAGCCCTGCCACGAGGTTTCTTGATCCTCGCTCATTGCCTGTATCTCGATGCGGGGCCGTCTGAAGGTTGCGGAAAATCGCAATGGCAGAGAAGGTAAAGCTCGCATCCAGACCCCGAACAAACCTACACAAAACCCTAGCCACCCCGGGAAACAACCTGGAGTTCCTACGAAGGCCGGCAAGGCTACCGCCCACGGCATAAGCCCCGACAGCAAAAGATTTCGAATCTCTCCAAGTGACACCATCCCGGGCCAACTCTTCGCCGGGAAGTAAGTCGAAGATCTGAAGCAGAGACTCCTTCGAGACCGTCGAGTGCTGTAAGCGCAGTGCCAGAGCTTCAGCCTTGTGGACCACAGCTGTCGAAGTCGCGTTCTCAAGAGTGTCTGAAGAACGAGCATGCTCCTCCCCCAACACCGATTCTGAGGACACTCTTTGCTTGAAGGTGAGAACGGCAATATTAGCCAGTGCCTCGCAGAAGCCTGAAGGGTAAGCAGCCGGCACCGCGAGAAAGTGGCCATTTTCATCGGTGCCGATGAGGGGGGCATGCGCATGCCCGCACTTGCGAGACAACGGGCCTCGATAGTGCTGCTGAGGGTCAAGCCGCGGCCAACCGGCCACACCGACCGAGCGCAGCCCGTGCCAGGTGCCAGCTAATCGTGTCGGCCGCCTCTGAGCGGCGCCGAAGGCACACATATGCAGCGCCACCGACGTGGCGCGAGTCTCCTGAAAAACACGGACAGCTTCTTCCCAAGTCCAGATTGAGGCTGGAGTGCCAGCAGCTGTAGCACCCAGGAATTCCGGATGCTCGACCAACCATGGGACATGCTCGTTGGTAGCCAGAGTGGCCAGAGACAAGACCCGGCGCACCAGGGTCGTGCCAGCCTCGGCTTTTGATTTCCATACACCGGACAGCCACGGAAAACCTTCCGGCCAGTCCGAGTTCCGCAGAGGCGGCGGGCCTGTGCGATTAACGAACGTGGCCCGGGTAAAAGTAGAATATGGCGGGCTCATGAAAATAAGATTGAATTCATGTCGTCGAACTTGATTGAACAATCTCAACCAAAAAGAGTCTGAAAGAGCATCCGGAACCGACTCCCCGATATCAACTTCTTGACAGCGGAAGGACAGCCCGGCTTTCTCGCAGGCAGCCGCCAGGAATGATTTCAAGTCAGCCCGGCGAGACTCGCCCGCGAATAGGTAGAGAAAAGAAATGTCGGACTGTGGAGGCGAATCGTGTCCTTGAGAGACGTTCTCCTCGGTGTCACCGCCATCCGAGAGTCAGTTAGAAGCTGTAGCCGCCTCGGGACGACGAACTTGAGTGCATGCATGATAAGGATGCTTTCCGAGGCAACGTTGACATACATGAAGGAACCGACAGGCGCTGTTCTTGCACCCTTCCTTCCTGTTGTACTTCCAGCAAATAGGTTTGCCATCCGGAGTCTTCATGAGTTTGGCTGCTTTCTTGCCCGGGGCCTCTTCGGCCGCCGCTGCAGCCAATGCCCGCTTCAAGGCTTTTCCCTTTCCTTTCCCCTTGGAGTCGCGTTTCCCGTCAGCCGGAGCAGACGGGGGAGGCGGCACGGCCCTAAGCGAGAAGGGAATGACAAGATGCCGATTGAGAAGCTCCATGTCATGCATAGCTTTTGTGAAAGCCTCCTCAATCGTGCCCACCTCGCCGTCTCGGATCCAGCGATAGAGGGTCTTGCGAGCCTCGAGTTCAAAACTCAAGACGAGCTCCCAAGTCGGAGTATGCCCGTCGCCCGCCACCAATCCAGCAACTTGCGATCCCAAGACATAATCACTGAACCGTCGCAGGACATCAGTGGAATTCCTAGACAGCCAGGGCCTAAGAGCGTGCTTGGTCGCCAGGAAATCCCAGGCCAGCCCAATGCGCCTGTGACGCAACCGCAACTCCTCAGGATTGTTGGGCATTCCAGTGAGAGTCTTTCCGGGCTTTATTTTTAGCACGTTGGTAGTAGGATCGATCACCGCCGAGTAGGCCTCAAGCTCTGAATCTTCAAGCGACGCCACTTCGGTCAGTAACTCGGCTACCGGCTGATTGTTCTCGATCTGCTCCAGCTTGGCTGCTAGCAATGACTTGGCAGGCACCTCTTTGTCCTTCAACTTTCCCAGCGATGCTTCAACAGCCAGTCGCATGGCATGATGTTCGCTAGGCTGCACAAGTCGCTGCTGAGTGCCCAACCGCGCTTCAGCTTTGTTTCTCTCCGAAACCTGCAAGTGAAGCCTGGATGCTTCCCAAGCCGCCAACAAGCGCGCAACTACGAGCCGCTCTGCGACCCCTGCTGCAGGATCGATGGGCAGCTCCGCAATCAAGGCTGCTCTCACCCGCTCCCGAGACTCATCGAGCCCCGAGAACAAGGCCACGTTGCGGATTCCCAACTCTCCCAGTCTAGCCTGCCATGTAGCCGGAACATCCGCCTGCTCCAACTGGAACCTGAGATCCGGCCCCAGAGTCTCCAAGTGCCCTCTCTGCGCAGCTGTCAGAGCAGCCGGTGCCGCCATGTGATGCAAAGATGCAAGACAGTACTCAAGTCAGCAACGCACCCTAGTTGAGCCGCCACCGGCGAAACCTTTGTGCTGACTGCCGATCTCACCATGCTGATGCGATCACTCGCGCACGCACCGAAGTTTACCAGGCCGCAAGACAGTACTACATTCAGCAACGCACCCGGGTTAAGCCGTCGCCAGCAAAACCAATTATGCTGATTGCCGATCTCACCATGCTGGTGCGATCACCCGCGCACGCACTGAAGTTTGCCAGGCCTGACACCCTTCCTTCGCGCCGCAGTACACTGTGCACCCAGGAGTCTAGCTGCGCAATCCTGCGAAGCAGCTCCGAAGCGCCCTCACCAGCTCGGTGACACGAAGCTCTAGGCTCGAAACTCTATCGGCCAGCCCGAAAAAGGCTCGTGAGATCCCTGTGATCTCTCGTCGAAGATCCTCCCTAGGCACCGGATCGGCTGTAATCAGTCGCCGTTCCAAAACGGCCACCCGCTGCTCTAGCTCCCACACATGGTCAGAAAGCAGCAAGAAAGTATCATCCGTGCTTTCCCTCTCGTGAAGCTCAGCAGACGGCTCTGAAGCAGGCTCCGGTTCCATGAGGCCCTCAAGACGCGTAACGAAGAAACGGATCGTTCCTTTCCCAGCTCGAGATCACAATCCTTTGGCGTACACTTGCAAGTGGCAGCATGATCCCTTGACGTACACTTGCCAGCAGCAGTAGCACTCTCACTATGAACACGACCGACCCTATGGACGCAAACATTTTGCAGTCCGAGCAATCACGACTCGCTCGAGCTCTCTCCTGAGGTCTGTGCCTCATCTGCGGTGCTGGAGGAGAAGTCCTCCGATCCCGAAGCGTCCGCCTGTGCAGCCTGCTGTCCCTGCTCAGGTTTGAAGCAGTGCTTGCATTGCCAATCATAAGAAACGCCCTCCAGCGACTCGAACAATTCACAGTTTGCCACAGACTCAGGCGTGCTGCCGCATCCACCTACACGGTGAAGCCGCCGCAGCTTCTTCTTTCCTAGAACAGATACAAAGAACTTGCATGCATCTTTGACCTCAGGTGTCCTGGCAGGCATCACAAGATCACCAGGTTTGCAGCTGCTCCCGCTGCTTTCAGCGAGATGTTGGGCCCGGAACTTGGCCCAACCCTCCAACGGCCGCAAGAGATCAAGAGCCCTGTCACGCACCGAGCTCTCGACACCGGCCCTCTGTAGCGCCTGAAACAGGTCATCAAGACCTACCTCCAGAAAGGCGGGGTTGCTGCAAAGGCTCTGAATGACATGTCGCTGCAGCGAAGTGACAATGAACCAAGCACTCCGAATGTACTCATCTGAGGCTTCCACGACATGCCAACGTCCCAAGTAGGAACGGCGCTCACGATCGATACCCGACCATGATGCAAGCGTGGCAATGAAGTTTCTCTCAGAATGTTCGGTAAAAGCAGCAACAACACTCGGATCCTCGAAAAGCGCAACATCAGTATGACGCACACTCCCAGCCTCGGTCAGCTCTGGCCGCTTCAGCTCCCACAGGAGCTGCTTGGACATCGTTGACATATCCACATAGCTCGCCATAACTGGTAGGCAGGAAGTCAGTCCCTTTGTAGGCCGAGGAACCAGATAATCCCTGGAGAAGGCAAATCCATCAGAAGCCCAGATCTCATATCCGGTAGCCAGCCAATCGCTATGCAAAAGCCATGCATCCTTGCAAACAAAGAATGGCAGCCATCTGATGCGTTTGTCAGCTCCCGAAGTCTTCGTTCTATCGAAAACTCCTCGTAATCCTTGCGAAGACATCGCCATCTGCTCCGGTAGAATGCCCTGCAGGTCATTGGCTCTGCTAGATGTCCATAGTTTCAGTAGCCGTGCCCACGCATATGCTCTGACGAACTTCTTATGCGCAGTGTTCACAACCACGGCCTCTAAAGACATGACCATGATGAGGGCCAAAGATGGAGCTTGCTTGGTAGGCGGCGCCCCTGCTTCAAGCTCGGCAGTGCGAACTCGAACCAAGTTCCGCACCAGGACATGGGAGGAGATGGAGGCCTCGACCTTGACCCCTCCGACCCTCTCGAAGAAAATCACTGCAGAGAGCACAGACTGTAGTCTGGTCCTGGCACAAGGTTCCTGTGCCAGCTCTTCCACATAATTCAACAAGAGTCCTAAATGCGAGGGGAAGACTGTCCCCTCAACAGCGAATACCCATGCCGCAAACTTGGTCCATTCCCTCACGTGCCGTCTTAGGGTGGACGCTCTAAGCGTCCCGGCTGACGCCTCCAATACAGCTTGGCAATCAAGGGCGTAACTTGCCATTGAGCATACCGGCATACAAGCCCTTTTCAGCTCCTTCGCTAAAGCCTGCCTCCAGCGCCGGAGCTCTGCAGCCTCAGCGTCGGCCCTCGCACGATCATGCTTGGCCAAGGCAAGTTTCTTAGCCAACCGACACGGCCATGCCGTGAGGGATCGCTTTGCACCAGCTCTTGTCTGAAGCCACCCAGTGCTTACTTCAAGCTGCTGCTGAGGCCCAGCCGAAATCGATGAGGACGTTTGCGCCAGCTGACCTTGCACCGCTCTAGTCCTCAAGACGCGATCTGCAGCCTGTGATACATCAGAGCAGACCTTTTCAAGAATCTCGCATGCACTGAACCATTCAGCTGAGCCCATTGTAAGTCCCAGTGATTCCACAAAATCTTTGATGTCTGAATCATCTGAAAACAAGTTCGACAAAATCTCGGGAGAAGGCTGTCGCGACTCCTGATCAAGAGCCTTCTTGACACACTCAGGTAAGTCCTGCCACGACAGACTGGAGTCAGCCTCTTCCTGAGGCCCTTCGTCACCCATCGCGCATGACGATCACTCCGACCCATACACAAATGAGTCCCCCCCTCCCCTTTTGGACTCCGCAGAGCCGAGCCCAAAGGTTCGGACGAATATTGATTGTCATCTGTTCCTCCAGCAGGAGGGAACAAGAACTGCACATGAAGAAACTCATGTAAAACAAATCACCATGTGACATGAAAATCAATCCATAAAAGAGTCGAAACTCGACTCAACAAATGGAAAGCATTTTCGATATTGGCACATGAAAATGTGAGCAAGTTATGTTTCCAAATCTCATTCTGATGGACAAGTCCACCTCACAAGCTGCTCTCGTTTTGTGCCCTCGCACAAGTCCCCTTGGACTAGCCTTTAAAGGCCGGCAGCTACCCTTCTACAATTCTGACAAGTGCCGCTGACTTGTCCAAAACTAGATGGGACGACGTAATTGGCCGTCCCAACCTTTCCACACGCCAAAATGGCGCTTCCTCCCCCAGACCTCGCTATCACGTAATGGCACTTCTTCGACTTTGCATGCATAAGCGAGTCCTTCAATCCCCACGGCCAGTCCTGCCGTTGGACCTTGTGAACAGGTTGCTCATCCTCGGAAGATGTTCCAGAACTCTCGCCGCTCTCGCTATCAGAGGAGGAACTAGAATCTGAACTGATCTCCACGACCTCTTGCAGGTCCGGTGCCTCATCACGAGCATCAGGCTCAGACTTGACTGCCTCCTGTGCCTGCTGGGGGGCTGCAGAGAAGTACTCGGCCCGCGGGTTGTCTGGCTTGAACCGTCCGGAAGAGATGTCTTGAAGTACCTGTTCAAACTCTTTCACGGCCGATGTGGCCAGGTCAACGGCATAAATCGCCTGCGAGCCAGCTGTTGCTGACGCATGTCGGCCCAGCACCGACCTCACCGGCTCACTCACGCCATGCTTCGAGCACCATGCAAGTGGAGTGCGTTTGAGCGAGTGCGACGAAATGCGTTTCAGACGCTCCTCGTCACACACTGGGCCCAATGCAATCCTCAAGAAGGATGTGATCTCTGATGCTCGGATCTCACGCTTAGCCAGCAAATCACCATCCGCAGACAAAGGGGCCCTCAGCAGAGGGCCCTCAACCTTGCCTTGGACCTCCATGCCTACTAACCTGAGGGCCTCGAGGGCTGCAGACACCCACTGGGTGCCAGTGACTCCCACTGCTGGGATCAGCACGGGCAGAAGCTTCCTGGATCTCGCAGTGACGTTGTTAGTCTTATGCATTCCTAGATAGAGAACAACGTATCCCGAAGAATCATCAAACTCGTGCTCAATCCACTGAATGTCCGAAAGGTCGCTGTTCCTACAACGGCCATACAGGGCAAAAAGACATCTGGCTGCCATGGCCCGATCAAAGCTGTGGGCTCCTTGGTCCTCCACCATGGTGTGCAATCGGCATGTTTCGCCCACCGTCAACGCCTCTGCTTGGCGCAACCATTGAACTCCAACTGACATTTGTTCAGCGAGCCCACACACCCGCCTGCTCTTCAAGACATCGTCAAGATGAAAACCAAGTACATGGTGAAGGAATCGCATTGCGCTCAAGACCCCGGCCCCCCTTGAGGCAGCTGCGCCTGCCTTCTTGAGGTTGGTCATGTAAGCCCACAGTGATGCCTCCGATAGACAGTCCGAATCGGACGCAGGGCCGTTAAGGTACCACCTGAGAAACATGTTAAAGGCATTTGCACGCTTGTCAATTGTCCAAGGTGAGCGAGTGCCGACGGCGGCTGTCACTGAATCTGGGTCAACCTTGTCATTGTGCAACAGCGTAGGTGGGATTGAACTCGGGGGCACAAGTCGCAGGCCTGCCACCAACTTACCCAGACTAACCTCCAAGACATCAGCGCGCCTCTCACGGAAGGAAAGGTTCTTAGTGGCTTTAATGGCTACTGCGAAAATCGGCTTACCTTGAAGATACACTTTGGCACTTAGAGATACACAGGTTTTCTCCTGAAAAGTCGGCTCCTGTGGCACAAGGAGCTTTTTCGCAACCAAGGGCATCTTGGGGATTGACGGCAGCGATGGCAGAGACTCGCTGAACACAGCACGCATGGGGCCACGCTCCCACGGGAACTTCAGCTTGCTCAAAGATGGATTCGTAACCAACTCAGTTGACACCACACTGGCCAAGTCAACAAGCGGTGGTATCGTGGGCTCATGGATGCTGGCTGTGAAGGCCTCGGTAGCAGGGGATGCACCGAGGCTGATTTCCGAGCCTATCGGCCTCCAAGACGAGCTAGAGCCTGCAGCAAGCCGCTCTAGGTGCGCATCAAACTCACTCAACAATCCTTCCTCTTCCTCGGCCACCTCCCTGTAGTGCTGCAACTCTGCAGAAGGATCACAGTCTTCCTGCTCGTCCCAACCATCCGGCCCGTATTCCGGAGGGGGAGCCACATCCAGAGGCTCGGGTTGTCTTAAAGGGTTTAGGCCGACACCACTAATGAGCAGCAGGTCTACATCGCTAGGGACCATGGGGGGTATTGGCGGAAAGGCAGGCCGAGGCTCCGAGGAGTCTGCACTGACCACGACATTGGGCATCTGCTCGTTTGACGGCACAAGCTGTTCGGAAGGATCTAGTGGGTTCTGCACAGGCCTAGGGCTAGTCACCGGTTCAACCGACGGTACAGGTGTAGACGCAACCCCATCCTGATCCCCCCTATTAACCGAAGAAGACACAAGCATGGGCGGCGCAGCTCAGGCCTCCGTTGCGGGCAGGGCTGGCTCAGCCTCATGCTGGGCGGCTGCGGCCGACAAGGCCATTGGAACCTCACATGAGGGCACATGCTCGAGGGGAGGGTTCGGCATAAGGCTGACTTGGCGCAAAACCCCTTGTAATGGCAGTGTGCAAAACGATTGAATGCACTTCCCTGTTGACAAAATCAGAGGCCTGCAACCAATGCGATCGCTCGGGAGGGCCAATGAAGGCCCAAATGCACAAAACTACGTTGCACTCTTGGCACAGACACTCGAAGTCTGGAGGCACAACCACGCTCAGATCGGAGAAGGAACTGGACTGGCTGCCGGCACGGCGCAAGGACGTTGGATGCAAGCGAAACTCTAGTGCTGTAACCCGCAGTTCAAGAGCCGAAAGCTGGTCAGTCCAGCTTTCCTGAAGCCTGAGAATCTCAGAGCTATGCACGAAGGACGATCCGGCACTGGTTGCCTCGCTCATGCACCTCACTATTGGAGGCGCCCGCACCCCCCCCGGCCGCAGGAGAGAGCTACACTTAGGTCTGAATGCTGAAGTGAGAAAGTGACAAAACTGTTCCAGGTTGCAGACAAAATTTTATGCCCATGTTGCCATGCTGCCTTCACTTGCTCCCTTGAGCACAACCTCACGGCGGGAGCATATCATAAGCCATGCACACAAGGATTGCTCTCAAGAGAAAATCACTTTGAAAGTTTTCTTTCCAACTCAATCGGAAGAAGTAAAACTAACCCAGTTTTACAAAACAACATCCTAAATTAAAGCGCTATCAACCCGTTGACCGCTAGCATTCGGCAGTGGCCTTCCTTTCTCGGGGCCGCCCCGCAACCTGGCCACGTCTGTAGCTGGGACCTGTCGCTTCAAAGTCTGTCGTGCATTAAGGTAGGCGGAGCTCTCGATGTGTTCCTGCAAGTGCTCAAAATGCCCGAGGCGCGTGTTCCCCTGGCCATTGGCATGCCTATCCGTCCTTGCACCCAACCTGCGCCAAGACCTCGGAGCCACTTCGCCTCTGAAGTGCATCTTGCGCTGTCCTTCTTGCAAGCAGTGGAGTCGGCCGCCCGAGCCCCTCACTTCCCAGCTACCCCTGACCTCACGCCGGCCGACTTTGTGAAGCTCAAGAAGCGCATCATTGCCCTTATTTGGTTATGTTTTCATTCCAAGCGCACCAACAAAGCAGAAGTACATGTACACGAACTGCACTCACAGACTGAAGCAATCGCACTCGGACTTCTTTTTTTAGAGCGAGGGGTGCAGACTGTTGGATTCCGGCTCCACATTCGTGGATGTACAAAGACTGGCAAAACTACGATCGTCCTGCAACGAAGTTTCCGGCAATATCCCGCAAGTGAGAAACGAACATCCTGCAAGCGAAAAGGGCAACTGATGCCATTCCCCCGAGGGGTGGGCGGGTGGGACAAAAAATTTTCTCACGCCTGCAAGCAAAACTGCGAATGCCACTGACATGCAAGGCAAAGCAAACGTGAGAAAACATCATGTCATGCAAATAACCCCCGCAAGACATGACTGGAAGAAGTGCGCCCGAAAATTGTAAACAATTTTCCAACATGAAAACAATCAAATAAGAAAACATCCCCCTTCGGGAGAGGTTGTTCTTATTTGGTTATGTTTTCATTCCAAGCGCACCAACAAAGCAGAAGTACATGTACACGAACTGCACTCACAGACTGAAGCAATCGCACTCGGACTTCTTTTTTAGAGCGAGGGGTGCAGACTGTTGGATTCCGGCTCCACATTCGTGGATGTACAAAGACTGGCAAAACTACGATCGTCCTGCAACGAAGTTTCCGGCAATATCCCGCAAGTGAGAAACGAACATCCTGCAAGCGAAAAGGGCAACTGATGCCATTCCCCATTCAAGATCAGGTGCCGCTAGAACAACAGCTCTTCGCCTGGGGCCCAACGGACTCTGAAGTTGGTAGGAAGCTTGCCAAACACAAATCGCGAAGGATCATCGGCAGGGTTCGCAGATGACTCCACTCTCTCAAACCATATGCTGATTCCTTTCTCATCCTCAAGCATGCTGAGCTTGTTGAGCTGCGATGCTACCACCGGGGAATCGGAAGCACACTTGATGAGGGCCGCGAGGGCGGCCTCATTGTCACAATAGCAAATGAGATTGCAGTCACTCAAAGAGTTGCAAAGTTGCACCACACCTTGCACTGCCGCACAAGCTTCCAACTCATAGATCAGACCTTGCTTGCCCTCTTTGTTTATGGCCTCCAGAACGTCTGGGTCGGCAGACTCGGAGTACCACCTAAGGAGCAAACCCCTATCGCTATAAAGAATGCCTCCTAGGCCGGCTGGCGCATCCGCTTCGTAGGAAGCGTCTGTGTTAAAGAACGGGCTTCACTAAGGGTTCCTACCCACAAAGACTGTCGGACACTTTTGTTCCTGGGCACGGTGTGTCCTGGGGTCTCGAGCCTGCACGTCGCGTGTGCGTGACGGCTGTTCCTGTACATTAACTGTACTGCACTAGCTGTGTTACTGTTCCTGGCAGAATGTTTAACACCCCGCCTTCGGAGTTAGCGAAAGTTCCTCGACTGAGGTGACTCCGACTTTTCCTTGACAAACAGTAAACACGCTGCAGTTCCTTTTCACTTGCAAAACAAACACTGTTCCTCATCGCAAACGTATGCGCACGTTCACTCGCAATCCTCTCCAAGGTTGCTCGACTGTACAAAAGACGTTCCTGCACTTTACCTAGATCACCACAGAAACAAAAAGGGCTGTGCCACGGTTCCTGTGTCCTGCTGCTTCTTTCCTCGGCTCTCTGGCCTCAGTACTGCTCGCGGTTCCTTTGCTTCACTGGAAGGTTACTTTGCCTTCCTCTTCGCTGTCTTTAGCTTCCTCTTGGTCGTGAAGCTGTTCCTTTAGCCACTCTTCTTTCATCTTTGCTTGCGCTTTGCACTTTTCCTTTCCTTGCTTGTCCTTTGACGCTGCTTTCCAACCTGTTTCCTTTGATCCTGAATACCAGTACCACTGTGCCTTGGCTTCGTTCCACTTCCACTGGTATTTCCTGTTCTGGAAACTGTAGACTGCAAACCAGTTTCCTTCAAACTCTCCTTTTCCTTTTCCTTTCATGACGATGCTTCGTTCACTGGTCCTTTGGCGGACAGTTCTGGGTCGTCCTTGTCTTCTTCCTTCTGCTTGTGCTGTGTGACGTTCGGTGGCTCCTTTCCTATTGCTTTTCCTGTTCCTTTTGCTTCTGGCTTCTCCTCTTCCTTTGCTGGTGTTGTGTCAGGTTCTGTGGGTGCCTGCGACCCGGCTGCTGATCCTCTGCTCTCAAGCTCCTGTGTAAGGCTTGCAATCCTTTCTTTATCCTCTTTGCGTTCCTTCATCATCTCCTTCATCATTTCTTCAAGCTTCTGGATCCTGTCTGCTTCACCTGATCCTGTTGCTGTTGTTGCTGCTGCCTTCTTTTCTGCTTCCTTCTTGGCAATGTACGCTGACGCTGCCTTTTGATCTTCCTCTCTCTTCTTCCTGGCTTCCTTCTCCTTTCTTTTCTTCTCCTGCTCCTTTCTTTCCTTCTCCTCTTTGGCTGCTGCGGCTGCTGCTGCTTCCTTGTCTCTCTTCTCCTGTTCTTCTGCTGCCGCTTCCAGAATCAACCTTGCTTTGGCAATTTGCTCCTCTTTTGCCTTCTTCTCCTCTTCTGCTTTTGCTTTTGCTTCTCTTTGTTCCTTTGAGATCCTGTCCTGTTCTTCCCAGTACTTGCGATCATCTTCATCTCGAGGTCGAAATCCTGTGCTTTCTGCTCTTGCCTTTGGCTTTCCTTTTCCTTTTCCTTCCTTCTTTCCTTTTGTTCCCTTCTCGTGCTTGTACGTGTAGTCCTTGTCGACCCACTGCTTTTCTCCTGTAACTCTGTGTTGCCTGTAGATCTCGCCGTTCTCGGAGTATTCCTTCCATTCGCTGGCGTAGTCGTAGGGGTACGGAAAGAGCTTCTTCTCCTCTTCCTTTTCCTTGAGCCTTTGCTTGCTTTTGGCGTTGATCTCCGCGATCTTCTTCTTTCTTCTCTCTTCCTTTGCTTCCTCACTTTCTTCTTCCTCTGCTGCTGCCTTCATCGGGGTACTCCCCGGGATCTTCTCCTCCAACGTAGCTGTTGACGTAGGCCTCGTTCTCGTTGCCGGCTTCCTGCTCTCGTTCCTGGATGCCCTCGAAGTAGCCTCGGTCCGAATATTCTTTCCTTTCCTGGGACGTAGGTGACGTAGCTCTCGACGGTGCTGTTCCTTGTCCGTGTCCTTCACGACGTAGTTCACCTTCTAGCTCTCGGTCCTTGGCTTCTCTTTTCCTTTGTTCTTCTTCGTCTTCTTCCTCTTCTTCTTGTTCCTCTTGCTGCTGCTCGTAGAAGTCCTGCATCATCTGGTTCAGCTGTTCCTTTACGGCGTCACATGTACCTAGGACGAAGGCCATGTGTTCCTTGACCTGTTGCCGGTCTCTGTCGTTCTGTTCGGCCATTTCCTGAACCTGGTGCTTGACGTCGTAGATTTGTCCTGTCAAGGACTCCACACAACCAGCCACGTGTTCCTGGCTTTTGCGCAAACGCGCAGCTTCCTCTGTGTTCTTCCTGATCGACTCCGCGATCAAGTTCCTTTCATCAGAAGCGTTCCTTAAGGCTGTCGCCGCTTCCTTCAAAATCTCAAGTTCCTTGAAGACTTCCGCTGTGTTCTTGCTCGAACTCGCGCTTGCTTCCATGGCTGCTAAGGTTCCTTGGCTCTGTCGTTCTAAGGTTCCTTGACCTTCTGCTACCGGGCGAACTAGTTCCTGGATACCTGAGCGTTCCGCGAGTGTTCCGCAGAGTTCCTTGAGCTGCGAAAGCATCTCACAACATGTTGTTCCATGCGCTGTTCCTGCCGACGTTCCTAGCTCACATGCACTCGTGTCACTGCACATGCCGTCCTGCTCACATGCACTTGCACAACAGAAAACATGTTCCTGAAAGTCTGGCTGAAACTCTTCTTCCTGAACACAACTCTCAAAACACTGTTCCTTGAAACTCTGAATCTGAAGACTGTCTGAAATACCTGAAATTCCTGCAAACAACAAAGCTGCAAAAGACAAAGTTCCTGGGCTCTTGATCATTCTTACAACTGCTTTAGCTTGTGTTTGGGCCTTGTGTTCCTTGAGCTCTTCTCTGCCTACTGGTTCGTTCTCGCTGGTTTGAAAACCTAGCCAGTGCAACAACAGTCTGATACGTTTCGCTGAAAGGGGCTTGGTACCTATGTCGGCTGTGTTCTCCTTGGTTCCTACTGGGTGAACACTAATTGTTCCTTCTTTGTGGAGGTCTTGAAGAAAAAGGGTCCTGATCTGCAAATGCTTGACTCTTCCTACACCTTGCCTTGTAATAATTCCTCTAGCTGCAGAAGAATCCATGTACAAGTGTACCTTGCATTGTTTCCTGGTCAAGAATTCTACTGCTTCCTTCAACAATATAGAATCTGACGCTGCTGACGCTCCTGCGTAGTACTCTGCTTCACCACTGCTCAAGCTAACCGACTTCTGGTTCCTAGAAAAGGAGTAAATGCACTGACCGTCTAGGCAAACAATTCCTGAAGATGTTGAGCGCCTTGTGTCCTTCTTTCCTGCCCAATCTGAATCGCTGAAGACTTCCAAAAGGTGGTGTTCCTTGGGCCTTGTTCCTGTAAAGTCGTAGTTACCATTCCTGATGGATTCATGGAGATTACTGAGTCCTCTAGGCGTTTTCCTGTACACTAAATGGTATCCTTCAGTTCTCGACATGTACTGCACTAGGTGGACTAAGTGTTTCCAAGAACCATGTGTTGGTTCCGACATCTTGGAGGCCAAACCTCTCACGGCAAACTGCACGTCAGGGCGGTCCTGACTGACATACAAGAGTATGCCAACGCTTTTCCTGAACGATGCTGCTTGTTCCTGGTTCAAGGTCTGAGTGTTGTCCTGTTCCTGCGACTCTTGGGTGCACGGAGTTGGCTTCGAGGCTTTGCTGGTAAGCTTCAGTTCTTCCTTAAGCTTCACAAGATACTTCGGGTCACTCGTGATGTGGAGCTCGTGATTGTGGTAGCTGAATTTCCTTTTAAGGAATCGGATTGTCTGGTGTGACTCTCCTACCTCAAGTTCCTGCTCTGTCAAGAAGGGGCCTTCAACCTTTAGCTCGTAGGTTTCTCCTAGCTTTCCTAGCTTGGGCTCTAGGTGCCTTGTTTTCCCTGCTGCCTGAATGTCATCTACATGCACAACAAGTATGCTGTTCCTGTCGTCACGAAACAAAGTAGGGCAAGCTTTGCTCCTATCAAAGTTCTGCTCTTTGAGGGTTCCTGCAAAATGATCACTCCATAGCAGTGCTGCATCTCGCTGTCCTGGAAGTACTCTCAGCAGTAACAAACCTTATCCTTCTTTGCCAATCCTTCCATATGAAATAATTATTAAAGCAATCCGGAAATCATATCATATAAATGATTCCAGATTTGATTCCAACATATTTGGAAAGGGGACATATCCCCGTCAGTAAATGTTATCATAATGAAATGCACTCAGAGACGGACGATCTTTTTCATGCGACGGGGGAATGCACGACTGGTTCGACTCGGCCAACCGCCGATGCCGCACATCTTCACCACATGTCTCGATGGCCCTTGCACATCAAGCGGTGCTCATTCCCCCCCCAGGGTGGGAGGGCGGGTCAAAACTTTCAAAAATCGCTCTGCATTCAGAGCCGCATATCCTGCAGGATATGATCAGTCTGTGATTCACCGCAAAGGAAAAGAGCATGCAACATCCAATAGTTACATGCATGGCATGAAGATAAATTGTTAGCCATGACATTAAAAAGCATATGCATTTGAGCTGGCGCCCAACAATTCCCTTCATAAATTTTTCAAAAGGACATGAAAGAAAATTTCACATGAAAGGACGGTGAGCATCTCACCTGTTGGCTAGAGGATAAGAGGGTATCACGAGGCGTGAGATTGTCTTTATCCTTCTTTGCCAATCCTTCCATATGAAATAATTATTAAAGCAATCCGGAAATCATATCATATAAATGATTCCAGATTTGATTCCAACATATTTGGAAAGGGGACATATCCCCGTCAGTAAATGTTATCATAATGAAATGCACTCAGAGACGGACGATCTTTTTCATGCGACGGGGGAATGCACGACTGGTTCGACTCGGCCAACCGCCGATGCCGCACATCTTCACCACATGTCTCGATGGCCCTTGCACATCAAGCGGTGCTCATTCCCCCATCCTCACATCACCGCGCCATCCATCTTTAAACTGCCTCCAACATTGGCTGCACCTTTCGGAAGCGTTCCTCATACTCCCCAAAGGACAACCTAGAAGCTGCATCAGAAAAGTTGCTCTTTGATGGCACCCGGCAGTACCATGGAAAACATTGGTTCACGACATCAAGCTCTGCAATATCCGCCAACATGTTTGCGGCATCAACCAAGGGCGAGTAATTTCGGATCAAAGCCGCCTTGGCAGCTTCGTTGTCCACAAAGAACAGTGCCCTCCGATTCCTCAACACCTTTCCCCAAGTGCGCCTCGCAATCAAGACTGGATAAAGCTCTGCGAAGAAGATCAGTTGCACACGTCCGGACCCACGCCACACCTCAACAAGAGGTCCTGGGATGTGGCCCCCGAACACCTCAAAGGTCTGCGATGCCACGTCCACGATGACTGCCCCATGCGTCACCTGAGAACCGCGTTCTTCGCACGCCCCGTCTGTGAAAACGATGACAGGCGGCTGTTCGGACCACAGGTTCACCTGACGATCCCCAGCAGCCCTCAAGGTATCAAGCGCACGACGGACAGCAGCCTCAACACAAGCGTGAGCATCTGATCCATGAGATTTCTCGGCATGATGAATCAGCTGTGTAGCCACCTGGGCGCATCGACCGAACACGTGCGAGGCCGCAAACAAGAGCTTGCCCTTAAGAGAAGGAAGCGAGCGCGCCCCCTCAAGAGGATCGGAGGCAAGACGTTCCACCGTGTCCCCGATCTCCTCCACGCGCCCAGCCTTATTCCTAACCCTAATCACGCCCTTGCCAGCATCTTTGAAGGATAGCACCGCACCAAGCATGGTGAACTCCGAAGCGAACGGTTTCAGCTTATCACCGTCGGACACCTCCCAGCCAAGAAGGTCCAGCAATGCAAGCGCCGCCTGATCCGCCGAGTCCGTTAGACCATCGATCTCAAGTTGGCAGAAATCGTCAAAAAATGACGTATTCACAAGGTACAAAAGTCTAGACAAAATAATGCGCAAGGCTCGGGCAGCCCGGTTAAAGCCGGTCACAGCGCTCGATGCGCCGAACGGAAGAGCAGCACTCTCAAAATAAGAGACGGTGTCTGTGTTGGGATCCAGGACACCTAGCACCGATGCCCAATCGTCGGACGGGTGGCGAGCCAACTGCTTGTATGCGCTCCGCAAATCGAGAGCTCGGCCTTTCAGCCGTCTCGCTCGCCCGTCCCTGAAATCTCGATGCAGACGGCCCTGGTAGACGCCTCCGTCGGACAGAGGGAGCCGGAAGGTCTTCGTGCCGGCAACTGTGGCCCCCAAGTGGAACCTCGCAAGAGCTACAATGTCATCAAGGCCTTCAAGCTGAATCTTCTCCGTCTCAGTAACGGAAGCATTCACCTGGAACTGTGACAAGTCATCGACCGCCCTAACCTTATCTCCCTGAGAAACCCCAAACCTTTTGGAAGCCACCCAAGTGCCACCATACTTCTGATCCATTTGTTCCCAAGTGAAGGGCCCGGCCAACCAGCCCTTTTTCACCTGAGACATGGACTCTTCCCACACGGACCTTGCAACAGCCGGATCCTTTGATGCTTTCCGGCAGGCCGCCTCGATCATGTGCTTCGACCAAGAGGCCGTACGCCGAAGCTCTTCCACCGAAATGGAAGCGGGCTTATACTTAGGGGGAAACAACCCAGAAGGCTCTAACGGTCCCGTAAGCCTAAAACCCCGAACCATATCCTCGAACAGTCGCTTGTCCGGCACGCCAGCATCCAGCAACATCTGCTTGAACAACAGGAGGTTCTTTGATCCCATGACCTCGCGGACGGCGGGGTCCATAGATTGTTTAAGCTCACGCTCATCCTCCCGAAGAGATTTCTCAAGAGATCTGTAATGTTCCAGGACTGCGAGGCGCTTCTGCCTTACCGCGGCAACCCCATGCTCAAGAGTATAGGCTATGGCCCGGAGGTTCGGGCCGTCGATGGACACGGCACTATCAAAGGGATGCGTTGTTGCCATGGCCTCCTGCAAGAATTCTTTAGGTGTGTGGTACACCCCAAATTCGGCCTCGCGGCGCTCAACTCCCCCATCCACAAAGACGCGAGTCCACAGCAACTTTGAACCCGGAGGAATGTCAACCAAGCATGGCGGCGGATCATTGGGCACACTGTCCGGTGGCTGGAAGTCCAGAGGCAGGAGCAGGCGATGCAAGCGTTTGTATTCAGCAGGGCCCACGACACCACGACCACGCCGCGGCTGGCGCTGAGCAAAGGTCGCTGCAATGGCACAGTCAGTGGACTCGGACGGCTGTACACACACACCAACACGCTCAAGTGCCAGCTGGATCTCGCGAGCTGCGGCCGCGCAAAAGGGCGCAGGGTAGGCTGTCTCCTCAGCGGTGGCATACTTCCATTGCCCGGTTTGTGGGTCCCGGGCCCGCCCCCAACGTTTATGCGTATGGGAGCCATCGCACTGTAGCAAGAGGCCAGGCAAAGTGCACGTTGCAAGCAGGGCCGTGCGTTTGCGCCTGGAGGAGCCGTACATGCAGGCATGGAGCTCATGCCAGAAGCCATTCGGAATTTCGGAGGAGAACCATGAAGTCCGCCACATGAGGCTGGACACCGGATTTTCCACAATGCACAAGATGCCATTGGACTTGCAGAAGCTGAAGACCTTTGCCGCAAAGGCATACAAGAGGTTTGCACTGCAGACACGTTCACGGTCCACATCTGCCAACGTTGGGAGCCCATCAGGGAACTCCTTTGACCTGAGGGGCCGGGGACCGTGTTTGGACTTGCCAAGCGGTATCGCCCTAGCGCTCGAGGAAGTCCCGCATGGGGGCGCCAGCCAAACGGCATGGACGCGCCGCAACTCCACCCACAAGCGTTCCTGTTGTTCTGGGTCACGAAGGTCCAGGCTAATGAAGGGAGCATTGGCATGCTTGGCAGTAGGCTTATGATCAACCCCAAGAACCTGAAATCCCAGCTTTCGCACGGCCGCGGACAGACCTGCGGACCCACAGAAAATCTCAAGGAAAGAAGGCTGGGATGACTTGCCATTGTTGCGTACCACGCCTGAGGATTCAGGCGGTTGCGTATGCTCGACGGCCGCAGGCCGCACCTGATCGGTCGGAATCGGATGTGGCCGGCTCGGTGCATGGGGAACCTTGGGCACACCTAGCGTAGGAGAAGGCTCGGGACCGGCCGTCGAGTCGGGGTTCTTATCCGGGAGTGAGAATCCCAGCTGGGATAACTCCGTCCTATGCCCAGGACTAATCCTACGCGGGTTACGAACCGTAAACCCCACCAGCACAACGCGTGAGCCCCCATCCCACGGCATGACACAGTGGGGCTGCTGTGCATCAAAAGACAAGACTTGTCCGACAAACGGCAAAACGCGGCCTTGACTCTGTTCGCCGGGCAGAGGGCAACGCACCTCGCCATGCGGGTCCGCGATCCATAAGCCGCCATCTGAAAATTCGGACACCTTCACAATGGTATTCAGCTGCTGGGGGTCATTTCCCTTGTCAGAGTGAACCCGCGTCTCAAGATCACGAAACAGGGCCAAGGTTGTATAAACCGCAGTTGGCGCCTGTTGCCTCATAAATGCATTCAAGAGTTTGGTTGTGTGTGGGAACTCGCGGCAATGCTGTCGCAAACCATGTCGCTCACCATGATCAAAAGTATATGCGCCGGTCGTAAAAGAAAACTCGGATCCTTGGCCCTGAATCCGCGAGCCGCGAGACGGGGCCTCGGATGGCAATAGGCTCAACAAGTGAAGAATCGTAGCAGCATCGACTTTGCCGACGCATGCCGAGGCAAACTTTTCTGCATTCGAATCACTGCGGTTGCCAAAATGGCTGTTGGCAGTGTCATGCACGGGTGTGGACGCAGCTGCACGAACCTGCGACGTGTTTTGTGGCCCTGACCCTAGTCAAGACGACTTGTGATGAGAGAAGACATGACTTGGGTCGAAACACGACGGGTAGCAGCACACATGAGCCCCCTTCGGGCAGGAGCCAGCGGCATTGGGGCACTTTTTCAGATTGTGATCAAAACAGATGTTGTTCCCACTATCATCCCGGGGCACGCCCCCTATCAAAGCCTTTGGCATAACAAAGCGCACCTTGCGCTGCTTGGTCGGCTTTTCGGCCGCATTCGGCCCCGACCCCTTGCCAGCATTCTGGTCCTTGTCGCCCCTTGAATCCTTGTCCGTCGCCTTCGACAGATCGGTCTTCTTTGGTGGCTTTGGCAACTTTGGAGGCTTTTCAGGGGCATCCCCAGCTGAAGCAGAGCCCTTCTGGCGCGGCATAAGCATCCAATGGATGTGCGGTCCGCTCAGAACCTTTCCAAGCGGCCCATCCAGCGGGAGAGCGCCGGTCGCATCCGGGGTCAGTCCCGCCCGTGTATGCTCACCCATACGCACATGGATCTCACGATCGGCGGCCTGCAACTGTGCCAGGGACACAGGATGGAACCCTTGCATGGGCTCACGCTGATACTCCATGAACAAGCGATCAATCAGTTCCTCATGCCGCTCAAACGTCATGATGGCAGCAAGCTCATAAGCCACGCCGCGCCTGCGGAGGGCTTGCATCACCTCCAGGTCGGACTTAGTCTCAGCCGTGAGCCGAGATCCCGGATCCACAAGTTTGACCGCACCGGTCCGACCACCTTGCAGGACCTTTAAGCTGGAATCCTCCTTCACAAGATTTATTTCTTGGGCCCGGCTTGTGCACTTTGACCATTCAATGTATCGCACGCGTTGATCCTCAAGCATTTGGGCCGCCAAGTTTACCAAGGAGTGGGAAGGTTCAAGCCTATCTACTAATCGCAAAGGCGACACCCTGCGCTGCAAGACATTGTACCTAGCCGCAAGCTCAGCCGTCGGAACCTTACGCGGCTGATCAGACTCTGTCGACTCGGCCGTGCGCTTGAGCTCGGCCGCAGTGAGTGCATACGCCTCAAAGTGCAACCGGCGAAGCTTAGCATGATGCTCATCGCCATCTGCCCCCAGGATCGGGGTCGCAACACCGGTCTTGAACACATCCTCAGCGATACGGCCAGGCTCGCCCGGGACACAAAAGGCAAATGTCCCGAAGGTCGACCATCCCTTGCGCTTCAACTGGTTCCTGGCCTCCTCAGGTAATCCAAGCTGGGTGCACTTCGCAAGGAACACAGCTTCGCTATCAATGGCCGACATGGTGGTGCAAGAATCTACGTCACGTCCTAAAAGCCCTGCCCGATCTCACACGATAAAAGAAATAAAATTTACGATCATCATGGCATCTCCGTAAACGAACATGTTCACATGCGAGCCCACCTTCGAGCACTAGACCTGCGTGCATACCACGACAAGCGTCCGTCCTGCATGGGACGTCCCTCCTCAACTGACTTAGCTACTCATCGACAGCCAAGAGAGAGAGAGAGACGCCATGAGAAGGATTGATTCGTCTGTCACCTCACAACCGCAGATACAGTGCACCAGGACAACAGCAACATGCCTAGCATGGCTCCGACTGTTTTCTCACATCACTGCCTCAGGTCCTTGGCCCCCCAACACGAGGAACACTTGTGAAGCATGATGGTTGGCACCTCGTCCAGAAGCTCATAGTTTCGGTTTGCAAAGCGGCCGCACCGGAAGACTGTCATCTCCCCTTCATCTGGAGGCTGATCGTCCCTAGCTGCGTGGATCACCCCGCTCAGCTTATGCTGAAAACACCGAACGGACCGCCTGGCGTCGTCGGACACTTGCAAGTCCGACCCAAGCGCAAAAATGGACACTCCCGCCTCCTCGGCCTCACCTGCAGACCCAATGCTCTCTGCTGGCGATTCCGGGTCAGACTGCACAACCTCGTCGGCCCCCGCAGCTTCGGCCTGACTGGGAGCCGGCTTCCCCGACAGAAATCGGATCGCATCATCCACCGAGCGCACTCCCTGGGTCCAGCGCCCAGCCCTGGTAGCATCGGGTGCAAACAACCCGCTCGTTATGGTCAAGAACATACACTCCAAGAAATGCAAGGCCGGTGCAAGGGTATCGCGGGAATACTCAAGGGTAGAGGAATTGGCGGACCTCAAGTGATACCCCGCAATTGCACGCAGATTCTCCGGAGCACCCGCCTTGGCCATGTAGCTCAAAAGTGTTGCCTTCAAGCTATGGGTAGCAATGTCCCCCCACTTGACGTCTAGATCTAAGGGTTGGCATTCTTTCAGAACCTCACGCAACCACAATGCCCCGAGAGACGGATCAAGCGGTAGGGAGTCAAATCCCCCAGTGCACAGAGGCCTCGGCATCATAGGCACGCCCCTTGACGCCCTGAGACCGAGCCGTCGCCGCCGTTCTAGCCAAGCTTCCGCCCAACTGCCCTCCGCAAGACCGGGCGAGATGCAGGACACTGGCAGCAACCGATGCCTGGCCAACGATCCCCGGTTAGCAGTTTTATGGTGATAAAGCTGGGCGTTCAGGAATCCCTTGCCCTCATGAACATCCAATGTCGGCTCTGCCTCAGTGTGCTGAGCGTCACTCCAGCGCAGCCTTCCATGGAGGCAGTACAAGGCGTAGCCAGCCAAAACCGCCGCTAGATCGTTGTCGGAATTCAAGACAAACTCCTCAAGCGCCCTAACCTGAGCAACCGTCAATGGCACCTTCTTGCGAACAACCACAGCCTGAACCTGAGGGTTAGCAGCCCCTTGGATACGCGCCGAGCTCGATGCATCGCTTACGTCTGCACCTAGCATCGCGCCAGCAAAATTGATTGCTTCGCGGAAGCGCGGTGCACGGGACCTGGGAGCCCCCTCACTCCTCAAGAAGCAAACGTACAAGTAAGCCTCGGCCTCGTCCAAAGGAAAGACCGCTGGGTCCAGACCAACGGATGCCCTCCACCGTGCATAATGTGCCAAACTTGCAGCCCTAGCCTTGAGCGTAGAAGTTGACTTAGCCGAGAACACATCCCTAAGGCATTGATCTACAGCATCTGCCGAGGATCCCTCCTGCTGCATCTTTGCAAGATTTTTACCAACCCTAGTGCCCTTTCCCGAAGTCAAGATGATCAGCCGCCACATTTCAAGTGCCGCGGTCCGTCGATCGTCCTCATGGTCGGCCCAAGATCGAGAGTGGACCACCTCTGCCTTCCACGGCTCCTTTCTAGACCTTATCTGCTGAGGAGTCTCGCAGACCTGCGGCCCCTGGGTGGCATGATCCGGACTCCAAGGCACAAGAGGTGGCGGCAGGAAGCCCCTAGACCCAAGAACCGAAGACAGCATACCTGTATCCCAAGGCAAAGGCATCTCGAACGATGTGGAATTCAACACGGTCATGGCATGTTGCACTGTCGGAGGGTAAGGTGCCCTAGACGCCCTAATCCGAGCCCTAAGCCAATCCCCCATACCCAAACCACTGGGCCGGTCTGTCGCCGGATGCCCTGTTTGCACAAGTTCGCCCGCCATGTAGGCTATGCAAGTTGAGCAGCAAAGGCGCGAACCCGCTGCACAATGCGCTCCAGCCACACGACACGATGGTTTGTATAATCCCGGGCCGACTCCAATGCTCGGATGCGATTCTCAAAGGACTCCAACACGCGAATCCTGCCCTCAAGATACTCGCAGCGGTCCGAAAGCACCTGTGTGTCCTGCTGTGCTGCACGGAACTGCTCTTGCAAAGCCCAATGATCCCGCTGCAAGTCTGCAAGGTGACGACTGATGGCACTCACCGTCGAAACCGTGCTATCGGCCTCGGAGTCAGGCTCAGCAGCCGGCTCGGCTGCCGGGTCCATCCACCGTCCCGTCAGGGGACGGCTTGCACGGAGGGCTAGCCCCAACGTCGAAGTGTTGGTTTCACAGGGCCTGTTGAGGTTGCACAAAGACCCGACACCCAGAGGCCTCAAAACTTTCAAAAATCGCTCTGCATTCAGAGCCGCATATCCTGCAGGATATGATCAGTCTGTGATTCACCGCAAAGGAAAAGAGCATGCAACATCCAATAGTTACATGCATGGCATGAAGATAAATTGTTAGCCATGACATTAAAAAGCATATGCATTTGAGCTGGCGCCCAACAATTCCCTTCATAAATTTTTCAAAAGGACATGAAAGAAAATTTCACATGAAAGGACGGTGAGCATCTCACCTGTTGGCTAGAGGATAAGAGGGTATCACGAGGCGTGAGATTGTCTTTCGTTCCTACAACTGGGGTCCTGGTCGCCAAACAGATCCACATATTCCTTCGGGAATTGACATGCACATCGAGTCCTTTGTGGGACCTGCAAGAATGCGTCCTTGACATCAATGGAGTACAGGGAATGTTCCTGTTGTAATCCCAAGATCGGAATAAGTCTCACCAACGATGCGCTCGTAGCTGGGCTGAACGTGTCGTTCCTTACTTCTGCTCCTTTGAACTCTCTCGCTACTAACCTAGCTCTCCGCATCCATCGGCCGTTCCTGAATCGCCAATCGAAGACGAATTTCGTCGTCAACCACTTTGTTCCTTGGTTGATCTCTTCTTCTTCTGTCTGTTTCTCTTCTTCTCTCTCGAGTTCTTGCAAGGGTTTCCTTGCCAGTGTCTGAATCTCGGTGAGTCTGTTGATCTCTGTGAGCATTGCCTCACGATCCAGTTGCTGCAACTGGGCTTCTGCAACTTCTGGAGGTCCAGAATCTTCGCTCTTGAAGATGTCTTGTTCCTCATCGGAATCGCCAATGTCCGAATATGAATCTTCCCAGAAAATGTCCTCTGTACCTGGTTCTGCTTCAGGTAGTTCTTCATCATTGTGCTCAAATACTCTTCCTACGTTGAACGGAGGGTACTTCTTCTTCGGAGAATCAATCTTCGGGATCTTGGAACCTGTTCCTACATCGTCAAATTCCATTTTCCTAAGAGGTGCTGGTCCTCTAGCTGAAAGAAGCTCACTTGCCATTGCGCTGTCTGGGATGAGTTCTTCTTCTGAGGCTGCGTCCATTTCCTTACTGCTGCTACTAGAAGACGTTGGGTCTGAAGCTGCTTCGTCGTGTTTGTTTTGGTCGTATTCCTGCTCAAGTTCTTCTTCTGCTTTTCTCTTGCTCTGTGCCTGCTTCGCTTTGCTCTCTAGGTAGGTTGTCCTAGTAGGTCCTGACTTCCCTGCAGAGTCCCCGCCTTGGATGACAATCGGTCCTGCGATCGGTCCTGAAGGTGCGGAAGGTGCCGAGTCCTCAACCGACTGTTCCTGAGTTGCTCCATCCATGACAGGTGGCGCCTCTGCAATTGGTCCTGGAATGTTCTTCCTGGGAATGTTCCTTGTTGCCAGTGTAGTGTGCTTCACTTCCCAAGTGTGAATTCCTACGCTACTTATTCCTTTCACGTCGAAGTGTTCCAAGCAACGTTTTGCGCTACGGCTTGTCTTGATGCCGTCCATGTGCCACGTAATGAAGAGGTTGTTGTCTGTTTTTCCTAAAAACACTCCTCTCAACCAAATAGGGTCACCTTTCCTATTGGCACGTGTTCCTGAACGATTGGTCAAAACCAAAAGTGATTCGCCAAATTCGGCGAGTTGGCCCTCATAAGGCCTTCCTGCCATGAATTCATACGGAGTCATTCCTGTAGAGGAATGGCGGTGGTACCTGTTCAAGGTCCATGCCGAGTGCCTGAAAGCCCAACTGAAGATTGGATGAGTATGAGCAATATATGTTCCTGTTCTGTGTTCAAGGTGCCTAATCAAGGTTGTTCCTTGTCTCCTAATGGTCTGGATTGCTCTCTCTGCCATGCCGTTGGTTTCCTTCTGGCCACTGACTGCGTCCTGCAAGACTGTTCCTAGACCTAAAGCTGCTCGCTGCTTCTGGATGACCTGCTTCAGCTTCATCATTGTTCCTTCGTTGTCTGCCTTCAAGTTGATGGTTCCATATCCAAGCTGAGTACTCAAGTAGGTCACTCCTTCGCAAAGGTGCTCTACAAGATCTTTTCCTTTAGATGCTGTCGGGATACAGACCATGTTCCTACTCCAAGAATCAACACACACAAGACTTACTGCCGCTGGTGCCTCATCATGACTTGTTCCTGTAAAACAGAAATCCATACAGAAAGTTGGTCTTGAAGATCTTTCCTTCTCTGGGTTCTCACGAAGGTGTGGAGACTCTTTTCCTTTGCATGCTACACACGTCGGACACCACGATGCATAAGGTAAGTGTGTGAGATTATGCACTGCAACTTCCTCCGGCTTTGGCTGTTTGGGTACCTTCAGAGGTTCAGCTTCTAGAAACTCTTTGTACTTCTTCTGGCCTGAAACAAGTTCCATGTGCCTTTCTGCTTCCATAATGGATCTACTGAGCCTTCTAAGAATCTCTTGCTTAGAGCCAGCTTTTGAGACTCCTAGTTCCTTGCACAACTCTCTCAGGGCCTTGAGGCTGTTCTGCTGGTTGTACTCATGACCGTTGAATGTAAAAGACAATTCTCCTGCAAGTTCATGCCTGTGTGCTGGTGCTTGGGCCTCTGAGGTCTCTTCCTGTTCTTCTTCCTGTTCTGGGATCGTGTCCAGTTGGTGAACCTTCTGTTTTGGTCTTCTGGCCTTGGGGTTCACTGGTTCAATGAGTTCGAATACACTACGTCCTGTCCAGGATAAACCTCCTAGTGGTTCTGGGTCTCTGTGAGGCTCATCCAAAGTCCAGAACTTGTCATCCTCAAAGAAATCCTTATTGATCGGTTCTTCTCCATACGTGTACCTGTCTGGCTTGAGGTTTCCAATGTCTACTGGAATGTCATTGGTATCTCGAGGATTGAACAAAGTCTTCCTCAACGAGTTGTGGTACCTCGTGAGTGTAGTGCCATCCATGCTGATTGACCATGCATCCTCAGTGTACTCTTCAAACATCTTTCGATCCTCATCTTCCTTGGGGGTGCCTATGAGGTTCAGTGGAAATTCCTTGAGCGATACTAGCGTAAGCGTGCGGTACTCCTTGCTGCCATCGAAGATTGTTCCAAACGGTTCCTCAAGTTCCTCAAACATGATGCTGTGATGCAACAAATACCACTGATCATCATCCTCAATAAGCACTGCTCGATATGCGAACTTTCCTGGTGGAAACATCAAGTAAGTATCAACGTGTTCTGAGGTTCCTAGGCTGAAGTGGACTTGGTAAGGGTCTCGCCAGTTGGTCCAACCAACACGCTGTTCTTCAATGAGTTCCTTCAAGTTCTCGCACAAGTACATAGGGATAGGTTTTGCTTCTGCTTCCCAGTTGACTGCTCTCACAAAGGCTTTTGTTGTAAGTGAGTTGTTGTTGTAGTTCACTGCGATCTTGGTTGTTCCTTCTGTTAGGAAAGTGCCTGTTGCTGTTCCATCTCTGAACTCCCAGCCTTTCTTCAACAGTTTACCTACTGCCAAAAGAGGGTGCACAACCGATGAAATCAAGAACACTTCTTCAACCTTCACAATGTTTCCTTGAACATCTCGAAACTCAACCTCAATGATCCTTTGGTCTGAAACCTTGATCCGAGATCCTTGTGCATCTCGCAAAACTACCTTGGTAGTGTTGGGTGCCTTTCTTCCATACTTCTTCATCCACATCGGTGCCAACGAAATGTCGGCTCCTGAATCCAGCACAACCTCGATTTCTCGACTTCTCGCGTTCCTTGCTGCACGCGCAAACCTGGTGATGGTCCTTGAGGGTGCTGTTCTCTCTACTCTGTTCCTTCTAGGAGGATGGTGACATCCGTTCTCACATTCCTGCATGTTTGGGTGCCACGGTGTTTCATGACATCCATTGGGACACTCAAAGTAGTATCCACGATCCTGAGTTCCTATCGGAGTTCCTTCTAGATGCCATTGCAACCATGCATCATCACTCACCTCATCACAGTCCTGAAACTCATCATCTTCATCACCAATCCAAAACTCTTCTGTCTCACTCCTCTCTTCCTGAACTTCTTCACCAACAACCCGCAAAACTCTTCCGAAGTACTCAATCTCTATCTCTTCAGAGTTCTCACTCAGTGCGAATTCCTCCGGAAAGCTTGTGGGCTCGTCTCCCATGTGGTACATGGAGACCATCCTAATCACTGGTCTTTGGGTTCCTTGGCTTGCTTGGCTTGTTGAGGTCTTGTTGGCTGACGAAGGGGCCTGAGTAGAAGTACCTGTAGTGCTCGCTTGCTCGCTCTGGTTTTCAAGGTCAACGTTCCTGGCCTGGTAACCCATGTCACGCATTTTCTGTCTGCACTGTGCTTCGAAATGTCCATACTTGTGACAGTAGTGACACACTCCTGTAGCTGCTTGGGCTTTGCCTTTACCTTTTCCTTTGTGTCTGAAGAAACCTCTTCCTCGACCTTTGCCTTTTCCTTTGTAACCTCTGAAACCTTTACCTCGGCCTTTCCAGTTGCCTCGACCTCTGCCTTTGCCAAAACTTCCGAAACCTTTACCTTTACCTTTGCCTTTGCTGTCAAAGCCGTAACCTTTTCCAAAGTCCTTTCCACCTTTCTTGCCTTTTCCTTTACCTTTGCCTTTATGGTGAACATAACCTTTGCCATAGCCTTTCTTTCCTTTGTACCATGCTTGGTTGATATCCATTGCTGCAAGACCACCATGGTCATCACCTTTGTCGATCAAGTCTGTTGTGGTTCGGTGAGGTGTTCCTTGCTGGGCTGCCAAAGAGTTAGTCCAACGCTCGGTTGACTCATAGTTCACAAGGTACTGACGAAGAGTATTGTACTGTGTCTTCTCATCCATGTTGAGCAACAAGTGCCTTTTCACGTCAGGTTTCATACCTTGAATAAGAGTAGATACTTTCAAATTCTCCTGTACCTTTTCTCCAGTAGCCTTCTCGTACTTCTCGATGTGTTCCTCATATTCGAGGATATTCTCAGCAATTCCTTTGTTGTGAGCAAATTTGTAGTTGAGAATGTTGTGAAACAACTCCAACGATCTCGCACGATTCGTTGGTTGATATTCCTTGAGTAGCATACGGTAAGCTTCCATACCGTTCTCCTCAGCTACATGCTTTACAACTCGGTACGGCCTTCCTTTAGTGTACGAACAAAGAACACTGTACAGGCGTCTGCTTGTTTCCTTTGCTTCTGCAGACATCTCAGCCATCTTCACTTGCTTATCATCTTTTAAGTTCCTTTCTGCGATGTCCATGATCTTCACCATGTTGGAATCCACTGCTCCAAGCCAGATCCGCATCCTGTTCCTGAACTCTGTCCATCCACTCTTCTCTTCTTGCCATGTTCCTGGGGAAAATGCTTCGGGGCTTTTAATCAGCTTGTGCAACTCCACTTCTCCAGGCTTTCTTTGTTCCTTTACTGCTTTCTCCAGAGATGCTCCTATCTCCTCAAGTGTCGTTGCTGCGTTCGTGTGGGCGTCTGCCAACGCTGTTTGCGCTGTCTTCTGCTGTTCCTGAACTGCTGTCAGGGTTTCCTGGAATGCTTGTGTAAGTCCTGCTTCTCTTTGACTTCCTGAAGCTGCTGAGTTCCTGATCTCCTCTGCTAGTGTTTGTATTCCTTGTAAGGTCTGTGCATTGATCTCGGCAAGTGCCTTCAATGCATCCTCCATTCCTTTTGCTGTTTCAAGGTTGCTGTACACTAGTGCTGCTAAAAGTAGCGACTTGCACTGCTTCCTGCTCACTGCTTGTGCTCTCCTTTCTCCTCTTGTCTTCCTTTGGTGCTTTGAGCGGTTGCTTGCTCTTGCGAAAAACACACTAGAATAGTACGACAGGGTGATCCAAGTAATCAGTCCCATTGGGGTTCCTAAGAACACTGCTATGCGAATTCCTTGAAATACAACTCTGTTGGAAATGACTTCCTGAACTATCACATGCACGACGTCGTGAAACTTCTTTCCTACAGTTGCTAGCTTTTCTACGAAACTGTGAACATGTTCCTGTACAAATTTCCTCAGTACTTCTCGCTGTTGTTTTACTAGGTACCTAGGGGCGTAGCCTGACTCAAGGCTCTCACTCTCCTGGTTCTCGGTGTTCTGGTTGCCGTTCCTGTTCTCTTCCGTGTAGTACTCGCCGGTCACGCTAACGACGCTGTAGAGCTCGTTCATCACTTGGTTCATGCACAACAAAGCGTACGGTACCATGACTTTTCCTATCTCCACATAGTCCTTGATCGTGTACGCGTTCGTGTTCCTGATCGTGTTCACGTTGGTGCCGTCGGGGTTCACGCTGCACTCGTTGTAGCCTTGCTGGTAGTACTCGCCGTACACGTCGTAGTTCCTGTAGCGGTTCCGGTGCGTATTGGGCTTCCTTCTGCTCGACCACACTGCCATGAGCTCGCTCTCGTCGCTCTCCACGTAAGTGAGTTCCTTTCTCCCACGGCTCGCATCCTTGGAGGGTAAGGCGTCTCCAAGGGCAAGTTCTTCCTTGGTCTCCACGTTGTTGCCAAGGGCCTGCCACGGTCTCACCGCCATACTTCCTGCTCCTGGGACCAAGATCATCCCGCACAAAGTTGCGAGGCTTCCCAGTGCGAAACCAACCAGCAGCACCATACATGCTGCCAAACCGTAGCACTTCATGTTCCTTTTCTCTCTCTCTTCCACCAACACTCGGTCGGGGTAGCAATCGCTGCAAGCGTCAAAGTCTCGCGCGTTTCCTGCTGTCACGTTGTGGTTGCGAAGGTGTCCACAACCTCTGCGGTGGTACTTTGTTCCTGAACGGACTGCGATCCTGAGCGTGGGCATGTTGAGCACTGTCTCCGTCTTCTTGGTGATCTGCTCATTTGCGCGCATCTGCTTCCATCCGGCAACGAGGCAAACTGCCATGGCGCCGAGCATCATGGTTCCTATGGCTACGAGTAGCATCATCGCTGCCAAGGAGGTTCCTGGAGGCAGCTCCGCTACCATGTTAAAGAACGGGCTTCACTAAGGGTTCCTACCCACAAAGACTGTCGGACACTTTTGTTCCTGGGCACGGTGTGTCCTGGGGTCTCGAGCCTGCACGTCGCGTGTGCGTGACGGCTGTTCCTGTACATTAACTGTACTGCACTAGCTGTGTTACTGTTCCTGGCAGAATGTTTAACAGTCTGTGAACAAGTGGTAGGTGGAACGATCGCAAGCCCTGATCATCCTTGCTTCCCCGTGCAAAACTCGATCTTTCAAGAAGAGCAGGGCCTCGGTCAAGGAATCATCGAGAACTACAAAGCCCGAGAGCTTCATTGCTTTTGATATAGCTCGCATGCGCTGGGCCGCACCCCGACCAAACACTTGCGACTCAGCGAACTGAAGACGGCCACGCAAGCACTCAAGTTCTTTGGCATGCACTCCACCTTGCTGTACGATGGACTCGATCGTGGACACGAGCTCACGCTTCCTAGCCTCTGTGTTTTGAACCCTAAGTAGACCTAAGTGGATCTCGTCCAAACTAAACTCTACTCCTAAGGCTTTTGCCACACTTTTGAACCCGGCGTCTTTTTCGTCAGACGTTTCCCAGCCGATCAAGGCAAAGTACGACCGCAACACAAGATCAAGATGGCCCTTTTCCTCCGGAGAGGATACTGCTACAAAATCGTCGAAGAACACGCTCCAGTGGATGTGGAGCAGGACCTGCCCCACACTCCAAATTGCCCCCGAAGAACGACAGAATCCTTGTACTGATGGCTTAGCGCCAAAGGGTAGCACCTGGCTTTGGTAAAGTTCAGGTTCGCCCGTATTCGGGTTAAGCACACAGATATAAGCATCCCCCAAAGCCCGCTCCGATAAGGGAAGTTGCTTATAGGCTTTACGCAGATCTATCGTACGAAGGAGCAAGCGGGCGTCCTTTCCTGATTTTCGTAGCAGCCGGCACCGCCTCAGGATCCCGGCCACAATGACGTTCACTGAGTGCGGGTTAATTGTTTCCGCACAAGTGCACGTCAAGTTGGCTAAGCTTTCCGTGAAGTCATCGATCGGACGGATCTTTGCCGCCACACCGTTGGCCGTCGTCGTCACACCTTGCCTGACGCCAAAGCGGCGCGTAACAATGGCGGTCTCCGGCACATCGGCGAGAGAGAAGGGTCCAGTGAGCCACCCTTTGTCCCGCTCCTCCAAGGTAAGGCGATACACTTCCGAAGCAATTTCGGGATCCCTGCAGGTGCGGGTGGCTTCCCAGATCGCACGCTGATTCGCCGGGGTGGCGATTCTTACGTCCTCGATGCTGAGGGATGCCACGGTGGTTTTCTTCGGCAAGACAGACGAGGAAGGGATTTCACCGAGCAGGTCGAAGCCGTTCTGTATATCTCGTACCAGGTTTGCATCGGCATGCCCAGCAGCTTTGACCATCTCCCCGAAGAGTTTCAAGGGTTTCCCAGCTAGGATCTTCTTGCAATGTTCGGGTCCGTCAAAGCTCTCGTCAAGCTCTTTCTTCCTAAGCATCCATTTGCGAAGTTCAGCCGTGCGTTCTCTAGCCACACTGACCGAGCTGTGCTCGCACAGATGATCAATACATGCCGACATGCCAATTGGCACACCTTGATCTAGGGAACGCGGGTGCTTCGCATTGCATGCCTGCTCCACAAACTCCGAAGGTGACCACGGTATGCCAAAGAGCAATTCAAGCCCCGACTTGACATTGGGAGTCGCACTGGCTGCACTGGTTACAGGCAAGGGTAAGGCAGGGGCCGGCTGGCACCGCGGAACCAGGGGATCAGGACTACCTAACACCACACCCTCAGCAGCCTCACACAGCGCAGGTGCCGGTCGGCACAAGGTGTTAGGGGAGTCGGGGCTACCTAAACCCACACCCATGACGATCGTAGGAATACCTGCAACAGAGGAGCAGGGCTCCGCACCGGCAGCAGAGGAGCAGGGCTCCGCACCGGCAGTTGGCTCAGATGTGGATGCAAAGGTGGCTGGCTCCGAGGTAGGCGCCATACCCCGTGGAGCATAAGGGCTGGCTCGGAGGCACTTGGAACCTGCCGGCAACGATGAAAGAAAAGGTGTGCAGAAGACAGTCTTGGGGACTGTCCAGGCCGATAGCAGCTTGGTCTTCGAGGTGCACGGCAGCTGATCGGCTGGGCCCGACACTTTGACTGTGCGAGAAAACTCAGGCACCAGCGGAGGGATCTTCCGACCTGAAGGTTGGGCAGCTGTAGTCACACGGGCGCCCAACGAGAGCGACAAGGATGCATTGGCAAGAGAGCACGCCGGGCCGCGTGCACCGCATGCAAGCAGTTGATCCACAAGTGCCTGGGCAAAGGATTTGCACAGCATAGGCGGGAGGCCAGCGTCTTTGGCGCGATTGCACGCCGGAGAGCGCCACGGCTCGTGAGCGTGGGCACCGTCACACGTGACACCAAGTTTCTGCAGGAAGGGAACCGTGTGCAGAAGGCGGGTAGCCTTTCGTCTGTAGGAGCCGAACATACACTGATGCAAAGAAGTAGAGAGGAAGGGAGAGGCCTGGCAAGACCGAAGTGAAGCAGTGAGCCACATGATGGATCGGCTGGGGTGAGCAATGGAGCAGAACACCCCATGACTCCAACAGAAATGCCAGACCTCTGCGCACATGGCAAACAGGGCATTAGCCCCATTGACCAAATCAAGATCAGCACCTTGAAGACCTGGCAGACCCTCAGGATGCGCTGCATTGCGAAGGCCACTTGGGCGAGGGCCCGCCAAACCGACACAGCTGGTGGTCACAGGTGGAGACAAATGGCACGCAACAACATGTGGCTGCCTAAGGAGGTCGAGCAGAATGGCTCGGGATCCCGGCTTCGTAAGGTCCAGGGAGACAACGGGACATTTGCAACCACGTTGTGCATGACGGTCCAAACCAACGCTCAGCTTCATGCCCAGCTGACGCAAAGCAGCACAGACAGAGGCCCCCCGAACCACAGAACACATCGAGGAACATGAGACTATCAAGAGGCACTCCTTTGACTTTATCAGAAACCTTAGAAAGCAAGGGTTCCAAGGCTCCGGCAGGCGGTGGGACATACGCCAACGGAGGGTTGACGGTTGACGCGGAGACCGAGGGCCTAAACCCTAAGGATTTAAGATGCTCAAAGTCAAGGCTGGGCAGCTGAGTTGCATCTCCGCCCGAAAACAGGATGAGGACTAGTCTATCCCCCGTCCAAGGCATTGTGCAATGCAAACGTTTTCTTGCATAGAACCGCACCGGGGCCGCTGCAACATCATACAAGTCCCCATGGACCAGGGAACCATTGACGGGTAGCGCATGACTGCCCGACTCGGATTGAACCCATATGTGCCCACCTGAAAAGTCGGTGACACCCAGCACAAGATTGTCAGCATCATCGTTGTTCACATCACAGTGAACCTCAGTCTTGACGTTAAGATTCAAGGAAATCGAGCAAAATGTGAAATCTGTCAAATTGGGCCCGCCGTGCTGCACGGCCCAAGAGATGGCCAAAATGACCGATTGAGGAAAAGAGCGACAAGTGTTTGTGAGGCCAACGATGCCCCCATGTCGGAAAACACCTGCAACAAAGGATCTGCCAGACTCTGAGCCAAAGCGTTCATCCAGTCTAGAGGGTAACAAACTAAAAAGGCGCTCAATGCAAGATGCTGTCACAGGTTCACCAGACGACAGCACGTCTTGCGCAAATTGCTCTGCTGGATGCAAAGAGACGTGCACTCGCCGCTCAGCGGGCAAGGGAAAAACTCGCTCATCAATCACAACATTCGGGATTCGTTCAGGCACTGCTGCGGCCGGCTTGGGACATGCCAACGGGCCTACCTGATCTATCTGTGTCATCATGCACTCGTGGTTTGCCGCCTGGGGCGAGACCGAAGGGCTCATCGCCTCATCAACAAGAGAATCGGCCTCAGCGGCGGCAGCCTCCCGTCACTCGTTGACTTTGTAAGTCGTGCATTGAAGGAGAGAGTGAGGCTGCTCGCAGAACATACAAATGCGCAGGCCCCTTTTACAGCTCTCTCCAGGTTTCGCAAACTTACATCCAGCCTGCATATTAAAATTCCAACACAGGCGTTTCTTAGTCTTGCTACAGTTGTGCTTCAAGCGGGAGTCGGACAACGCTTCAGGACACTTTCCCTTACCTGCACCTTTACCGGGTCGGTGAGGAGGCAACTTCGGCTTGCCATCGGCATCACGCTTTGTGCCCTTGTCGCCCTTTCCATCGCCCTTCCACTTAGCCCCAGGGAGCGGGGCCAGATGCATCATGATTTTTGGATCGTACTGAAGCTTGTCCAGAGCAGCATCCATTGGCAGGTTTCCCGCGTCATCTTTCTTCAGAGAAGTCAAGAGCTCACTCATGCGTACCCATGCCGCCTTGTCGCACCTGAGCAGTTGCTCCATCGAAACCTCAGCGTAGTATGGAGGCGGCTGCTCCGATAGCTTGGCAAGCAGATGCCTGTGCCACAAGTCCATGCAGGCAAAAGTGCAAAGCTGCAGAAGGTCGCAAGCAAGTGCCCTGCGACACAGGGCTTCGGATAGCTGCAACTCATTCTGAATGCCACACTTATCCTTGTGGGCCTTGTCGCGGATACTCATGCGCGAGCCCTCATCTAAGATCAACTCTTTCCCTGGCTTTTCTCGATTCACCTCCATGGCCCTGGTTAGGAACCTGTGGGGCTCCAAATAGGACAGGCAATCTTGATCAACGACCTGGGCGACATAAGTGTAATTGCTGAAAGCGTTTTCCAAAGGACCAGTCAAGCTGAGCCCCACGAGCCTTTTCCGCTGATCGGTTATACGATTCGTCCTCTCAGCAGGGGCCAACTCCGCTTTCTTTTCACCTTCACCCTCAATCGAGCTTTTAAGCTGTGCAATGGACAGAGTTTGAGCCTCAAACATGAGGCGCCGCAGCGCCGACAGTGCACGCAACGGCACAGTCGTGGGGTCCGTGGGATCAAGGATGGACCTGAGCTCAGCCTCCTGCGGTACTTCGCCCGGGGTCGAGACACTGAAGGCAAGGAGCGACAAGGATGTCAAACCCTTACGCACGAGCACATCAAGCTCAGCTTGCGTCAGCCCACATTCCTTGGCCCTTTCTTCGAAAGCCGCCTGACTCTTCAGGATGGACGCCATGGAACAGGGTTGGATCCTACACGCTCAGACCTACAAAGACAGCAGGTGTGTACATGTTCTAGCTCGATAGAAAAATCACTCCCGCAAGGTCATTTCCAGCACGTCATGACACATGATCCCGCAAGGTTCTGAGCCGTCCTGCAAGTGATCGCAAAAGAAGGTATCCCGCAAGCTCCACATAGGCAGATCAATGCAGACAAACGAAAAAACCCTGAGGCCTCCAGGCTCATTGGGACACACTCCGAAACACCACAGCACGGACTTTTACTCGGTCCTCGGAATCTTCTTCAATCGCTCGTCAAGGCAGTGCACCAAGGACCCTAAGTCCCTGATGGGCTTTCCCTTCCAGCATTGTTTGCAGCGCCAGTGCGCTGCTTGAACCGCCGACGTGAACGGCTTATGGTTCGCCGTGATATCTCGGCCACATATGAAACGCTCCATGGAGCTTCCCGCAGGCTTAAGATGAAGAGTCCTGGTGTTCTTCTGCTGATAGACAGGGCACCGATCATGATACCTCTGCCCCACCGGGGGGTCTGCTTGGCTCGCAGTCAGGACTTCATCTATCTCGCTGTCGGACGAGCCTGAATCGGAACTAGACTCGCTGGACGACGAGGAGTCTGGCTCCTCCCCCTGAGACCTATCGTCCTCGAAAGCAGCATCCGGATCTTCCCACGCAGCACGCTCTGCACTATGGATTAGGGAGTCCACAGCGCGACCGAAAGGGGTGTCATCGTCACTGGCATCCCTTTGATCGCTGAGGTCAGGCTCGGAAGCAAAAGCATTCGCACAAGGAAGGGCTTCTGAGTCACAAGCTGAGCCAGGGCTGACCGCCGGCCGGTACCAGTTTCTTTCCGCCTCAGTCTCGAACACGCTGTCGCCAGGCAGCTCCTCGGCCGAGTCAGCAGATGCAGGGCCCTTTGCATAAAGACCGGACCTGGTCATGTCTGGGAGATACCTGCCACACCGAATGTCACAGTACATCTGACACAGCTCTCGCAATGGCCCAGCTTGAATGTCCCTGGAGTAGGTCACGACCGATCGTCTATCTTTCAAGGAGTGGTGCCCCAGGATGGTGCAGGAGTCCTTGGACATGTCTGTCTTGCTTGCCCACGACAGTGCAGTATGCTTGCACGAATGACCCTTAAGATCAAAACCCATGCTCTCATCCCCAGACTTGAGGATCGAAGAAATCCAGGTCACAAACCTGCCCGTCGGAATCCGGCGACCACTCCAAGACCCATTGAGCATAGGCGACTGCAGCAAAGGCAGGCTGCAGGATCCGGTGGCGACTGGGTGGCCCGACAGGCGCCACACCTCAACCCAAGCTTTGGCCCAAAGACCTTGACCCACACCCCGCTCGGGGGCCACTAGGCTCAACTCGAGCCCCAACGGGTTTCCTGTCGAGGCACACTTGTGCGACGTCGAGATGCACTCAAGGAAACCTTCACCCTCTGCAAAATCGATGAACATTGCTTTGACTGCCCTCACATCCCCTACACGGGCTCGCGAGTGAATGCAAAACAAGCAAGCACCTGCAGCATACCTATCCCTTGCATCACGGCGGCTGTCCTGGACAAAAGCCTCAAGGTATGCCACCTCTCGAACCTGGAAGGGCCTCGCCTGCACACGAGGCGGACGATTGAACCGCACCTTGCGAAGTCGCCCTTGCACAAGTGGGTGCTTATGAGGCTCACCAGTGGCATCCACACCCAAGATGAATCTAGCGAAGTTGCACGCTTCAATGCAAGATCCGAACACAGAGTGCGAGGCACCACTCTGCTGCAAATGCTGGGTGTACTCAATCAACACCTGAGAGTCAATCGGGAAAGCCGACATGCCTTGGTTCGAGCACCATCCCACCAGGCGGGCGAGACTGGACAACCGCTTTTTCAAAGTCGAGAGAGCCTTGCCACCCAGGGCTTCGGCAACAAGACTGACCCGATCTGTTTCGCACTTGTCCTTCAACAGTCTGCCAAGGGAAGAGCATTCGTATGCATGACTCAAGAGGATATCGTATCTCGTTGCAAGCAACTGCAACTGTTGCTCCTCAGTTTCTTGGGGCTTCTGAAATTTCCTGGCAGAGAAAGCGACCTGCACAAACTGTGAAGCATGCTCTTGGGGGTGAGCCTTGGCGGCTGCCTCCTCGAAAGAAGCGGAATCCAAGGGCTCCGTCTGCAGAGGAGCTGGCACACTGCACTGGGAAAGTGAACTCAGGTCGCTCTGCGAAAACACTGCTCTCATCGCCCCGCGCTCCCAGGGCATCTTGAGGGAATGCTTGGACACATGTTTGTCTGCAGCAAGCAACAGCCTGTCGAGCGGTCGCGCCATACCCCAGAAAATGCGAGCGCTCACCTACGTTGGTAGATCCGGCTCAGGCGGCCACGAGCTCGGTGCACAAACTCAGCAATCGTACAGAAAATGTAAGCCACAGCTCGGCAACTAGCGCGCAAAGGAAGCAGACGATCAACTCCAATGCTGAGCAAGATGTGGGCTCCGGCTGAGGCTGCTCCCAAGAACTGAGGAATGCCCAAGCGGGCTGGCGGGTCAGGGCGCAAAATAGCAGACTGCCAGCCTCGAAGTGTAAGACGCTCCCAGAGCCAGAGGAGCAGAAGACGCCGCAAGGCAGGAGGCGGGCGCTGAAGCCGCCGCCGATCCATGAAGGACCCCGACTACGCGGGGAGCTAAAGCCTTGCGTGAGGGGCCCGGAACCTGTTAGACGAGAGCAACAAGCCTCCAGAGGGCCCGACAAAAAATTTTCTCACGCCTGCAAGCAAAACTGCGAATGCCACTGACATGCAAGGCAAAGCAAACGTGAGAAAACATCATGTCATGCAAATAACCCCCGCAAGACATGACTGGAAGAAGTGCGCCCGAAAATTGTAAACAATTTTCCAACATGAAAACAATCAAATAAGAAAACATCCCGCTTCGGGAGAGGTTGTTCTCCATCCAGTGGCCAGACATCACAACCCTCGGGAGCCGTTCTGCAGAAACTGGCGTCTCCCGGCACCGCTGATCCCAGCCGAGTTGCACACTCTGGCCGCCCTGATGGGACAATCCTTTTGCCGCCACATTGATGAGCTGCTAAACAGCCCGGATGGCCTCCTGAGCGGGCACATCACGGCCATTCTGGCCGCCCGGGCACAAGGCCGCAGCTCTCTCAGCATCTTAGGCTGTGCGGGATCATCCAAAACTTTCTCCCTGTGGTGCGCCCTGGTCTGTCTGGATGCGGTGTTAGAGCAAACTGTGTTTTGGACAGCGCAGCAGCATTCAGCGCTCATTGCAGTTGTGCGTATCGCCTCCAACCTGTTAGCCGATGCCCCACAATGGCTGCGCCCGCTCGTTGTTGTGCGCAGCGTTTCTGGCGATGCTGAAATGATCGACCCATCCTTTGACCATGTGCCTTTCACGGAAGCTGCCGAACACCAGGCGGCAGGGTTAGGGGACATTGCCACGACTCAGCCAGGAGCAACGGGGCGCAACGCACGACTTGCCTCCCCCTCAGTTGGCAGTGCTCATATGCTGCTGCTCACGCAGGGATCCGCCGCGCTGCAGCTCCGTTATGCCTCCTACAGCGAGGTAAAAACCTACCTCAGCAACGCCCATGTCATTGTGATTGATGAGGGGCAACAGGAGGGACAGCCCGCTTCGGCTGCCATCCTTGCGAATGCCGCAGGCCAGCTCGTCATCCGCACGGGGGACCCACGACAACCTGCTGGCGGTGGTAAAGGCGAGGTCCACGTACGCACCCTGGCACGACTCATTGCCAAGCCCGTCGGCATTCGTGGAGTCGCCCAGCTGGCCCCGCAGCCTGTCTCTCCGGGACGACTCGCCGCGGCGCTGCGAGGCATGGTTCAGTCTACCCCGCAGGGGCCGCTTCACACTGTCAGGTGGACTAGCCTAGGGCACCGCCACGATGGCCATCAGGGCGCTGAGCCGCCGCCGGGCGCCACCATCACAGTGTGTCGAGAGTTGTCAGAGTGCCTCTTCGGATTTGAGGAAGAAGTGGAGGTCAGTCTTGACGAGGACCTGCAGGAGCTCCGTGGGTGTCGGGTCACCCGACAAGGGATGAAATACTTCATCCCTTATTCTGGAATCACCAAAATCGGTGATCGAGTTTGCCCTCACCCCCACCGGCTCACGCCAGTGGCTATTGCGGTGGATTTCCTCCACCAGCGAGGCGATGCTGCGCTACCTCAACCGTCTGTCAGCTGTCGGCGCAATACTTGCGCCGGCCAATACAGCTATGCAAGCTGAAGGCTTGGCCCCCATTAATGGGGTTTGCCTAAACTTGGCCCTGGTTGCCTCCACCAGGCTGCTGGCTGACCTTTACCTACTTATCACGGCCGTCAGATACCCTCAATCCATGATTATGCACAGGGCCTGTGACGCCTCTCCGTGCCCGATCACCATTGGCGAGCTGGCTGCGGATACCGGGGGGAGGCGGCTTCAGCGGGTTGCGGCGGATGGCACTCACCAGCCAGGAGTGTATTTCGTCCGACTACCACGGCATACATCCTCAGCCATGCACCCCGATGGCCTTGTGGAATTGCTCTGTGTCCTCCTGGTTCTCGCCTACAATGTCTGCGGGCATCGTTTTGCAGTCCAGGCTGGACGGAAAATCACGGTCGTCACACCCACCACCCGGGTTTTTGACTCCGTCAAGCATGGTCTTGGCCTCAGCAATGCACGCCCCGCCAACGCCGACACTGGTGACGCGCATCGAGTAGTGGCTGAGGGCACATCCTTCGCGGAGTTCATATCGGACTGGTTGCCTGCAGAGCTCCCTCCTCCGGGACAACTCGCCACCGAGGCGCAGGCCGCATCCCTCTTCTCCTTCTTCTATGAGCATCACAACGAACTGGGCGCCTTTGTTGACCTTTTCACCACTACGGTATGCGCTGGCACTACAGGGGCAATCGACATCTGTATTATTGACAGGGCCGGGCGCTTTACCATGACTGGAGAGGATGCCCATCAGCGGCTCACGGCCGGCAGCACGCGGCCCACGGGCCCATTGATCATCGCCTCCCTCTCATTGGTGGGGCATTCCCGCTGCATTGGAGCTCCACTCTGTCCTTCATCACACCCGCGTGCGATGGGAGGAGCTGTACAGAGCTTATGGGCTCGCCAAGCTTGGGCTACCAAGCCCCCCACGTGAGGACAAGGAGACCGCCCAGGAGTTTTACGAACGATGGTCTGTGAACCGTGTCCCCTCGCTTTGTAAGGCTACAGCCGTTGCAGCACACAGTGGCATGGATGGCTACCCGGTTCAGCTCCTCCTTAGGGGTGTGGACTTTGAGCACAGTGGACCGCGCGGCCAGGCCATCACAGCGCGACCGTTTTATCCGGTCATCGACACCGAGTACCCCGTTTTCGGACTACTGGAGTTTACTAACCCGCCGAGGTTTGGGCTCCATCGCCTCCGTGAACACAAAGGAGGGGGCGTCCCTCTCCCCAAAAGGCTATTCAGTGCCCTCCGCTCCACCCACCACCGGTCGCTCGTCGGGTCACACATGACTTGCGCGGAGCCAGCGACCGAGTGCCGAGGCAAAGCCGGTGCGTCGGAGTCGACAGTCATTGCCGTGCCCGGAGCATTCTATCTTTACGCTATCGCCTCTGACACGGTCAACACCAGGCTGCTTGGGAGGTTACAGCGTTATGTGTCGTCGCACATACGTCATTCTTCCCCTGAAGCAGTCTTGCTACCGCCGGTGGCTACTACGGGCCTTCCACGAGCCCTTTATGATCCGGCGGGAGCGGTACGCCCTGACCCGGACACCGGAGAGCCTGCCAAGGAGGATCCGACGCTGACCGCCGAGTTGCGCAGTCAAAGCTGTGCGGTCTCCCTTCCGGTCGCACCTACCGCTACGTGGACTCAACGCGTGGCGGACCTACTGGACGCGGTCGAAACCCCGCCTTGTCGCCTTGTGCCGGGAGTTACTTCAATTGCCAGCCGGTGTGTACCGGCAGACGATGAGGATGAATTCGCAGAGCAGCATGACACGCTTCGCCGCTACCAAGCTAGGGGCAGACTTCAGTCGATGGAATTGACTGCGCCGGGGCACTGCAGCATTTACTCCCCAGCTCTACGGACTGCCTTACCCTACTCTCTCTTGCGGCGCTGCACTGAGAGCGAAGCCTTTCGCGTCTGTTTGACGCCGCTGCTTGCCGTATCCGTGGCACTGGCACAATTTTGTGACCCAGTCCTGCGCCTGCCGGAAGGACAGGTTTTCGACCTCTCCTGGTATGAACTTGCCCGTCCTGAGATTTGGTGGTGGCTCCTCCTTGATGAACTCTCGGGGCTCAAGGGCTCGCTCCCCCGGGCTCTTGAAGGACGGAAATCCCCCGTCCGGGATGGCAGCCTGGTGCAGATGTCCCTGGCTCCCAAGCGCGACTCCACTGCCAAACCAGATCCACTGCCAACAAATAGCCGACGTGGCGCTGGTTCCAGCCAGCGGTGCAACACCGGGGGAGGCAGCACGAGTGCTGAGGACAAACAGGGCACACCACTACTACATTGCGGCGTGCTGTTGCCGGTGCAACTGTTATTCTTCCTCACCCGAGCGTTGGCCGACGACCCTTCGGCCGCCCCACTCCTGCAGCTCACCAACGTTACCCCTGCCCGAGATGGCCAACATATTGAGGTACGAGTCACATGCAAGGTTCCAGCTGACTTGGAAGGCCGTCCTCAGATTGCCATTGCGGATCGATTGATGGCGGGCTTTGAGAACGGACTCCTTCCAGCCAGACGCGGAGAGTTCGAACCGCGCATGTTCACGTATCCTGGCTCCTATCGCGGCACCTTTCGACTGCTTTTCCCGCTTGCGGACATTCCGCTGGGGTTACGAGCTCAGCCGTCGCTGGCGATCCAGGACAGCGCCCTGTGGCGTCTTCGTGCCGTGGCCACCTCCGAAGGCTGGGATCTCCGCGCGGTGGTCGCCTACTGGATTCGTGGGCCGCAGAAAAAGAAATTCTACTTCCCGACCCGCCTGTGGCGCTATGCGCACTTCGACGCATTTGAAGCCAAAGCGATGGTCCTCCTTCAAAGGTTGGTGGCCCAGGAGGAGAGCCGCACACAGACACCACCGGATGGCATGCGCCCCTGGCTCAGGCTGGTTCTTGAGATTAACCCGCTTTACAACCAGAATCCCTACTTTACAACCAGAATCCCCACTTTACAACGACAGACACTGTTTTCCGTGTGAGAATCCCCACTTTACAACTGCCGATCGTGAGAACGCCCACTTTGCAACCCGTCTACCCATGATGGATTTCATGAATTTTTTACAACAAACCTACCTAGATTCCTGATAGTTTGTTGGTTC